ATCACAAAGTTTATTTAAAATAATAATTTCTTAAATATTAGAAACCAGCCACTAAATAACAACCAGGATATAATGATATATACAAGAGTAATAATAAATTGTACGTAGCAAACCGATCTCACTCTCTTGCGTGAGAGATCGTTATATACATCCAGATGCACTATTCACCTATGATTATTTTATTCTCAATTTAAAGATGGTTTTTCATTTAATTATCAAATAAGAGCAAAAACTAATCTTGGATGTACGATGTACCAGAGTGTATATAACAAATTTGATGCATATATGAATTAGGTTTTGAAGCATACCTTGTTGATTTGTAGTGGTCGACCACCGGGAATGTTAACAAGGCTTCCATTGCATAAATAAACCGCGGTTGTAAGTCTAGGAAATTCAAATCCATGATTCATCTTTATTGTTTTTACCTTATTATTTTTTAGATCAAACCGAATCAGACTAGATTTGTCATCATCCCAAATCGAAATCTCGTCCTTTGATTTCTTGGTGTATCAAAGAAGCTTTAAACGCCAAGGACGACTATCATAGATGATATCTACCGGTAGTTCCAAACATTGATCTGATATTTCAAACAACTTCACCCATGATTCATTCACTCTGTACTCTTTCATCACCCATATATCCAATTTATTTTCACTTGGAATCTTAAAAATCACATACAAACACCCGTCTAAAACTCCTAATTGTGGTTTTATACGCAATCCAATTACTAAAGAGTAAGGCCACACGATATCTTCCCTCCATACCTCATTACATATATCGAAACAAGCAATCCCCAATTGACCCGGGGGTGTCTCTATAATCCAACGAAGTAAATGGTTGTCTATTACGCTTAGGGGTGTACATGAACAGGACCGGACCTGAAAACCGACCTGACCCTGACCTGTTGGGACCGGACCTGACCCGGACCTGTAAATTCAGGTCCGGTCCTGGTCCTTGAAAATCAAGGTTTCTGGTCCCGGTCCGGATCAGGTCCAAACCCGGGGTTTTCAGGTCTGGACCTGAAACCCGTTAAAAATGCGTTTTTTATAAAAAAAAAAAAAAAAAAAAAAAAAATTCCCAAATTTCAAAAGAAGTCAGTTTCATTTTTGTTAACACACTAACCCTAACTCACTTCTCTCTCTCTCTCTCTCTCTCTCTCTCTCTCTCTCTCTCTCTCTCTCTCTCTCTCTCTCTCAGCCGACAAGCAAACACGGCAACACCCACTCCCTCCAGACCACCGCCCAGGGGCCCAGACACAAGTCGGAAGTCGCCACCGCCCACCAGACGTCCAGACCAGCAGTGACTACACGTTGTACATCCTGCAACGACGAGTCGACGACTACACCCTGCATCTGCATCTCACTGTAAGTTCTTTTTTTTTTTTAATTAAATCTAATTATATTTGAATTGGGTATTTTGTATTTCAATTGCTTATAATGATTGTTTGATGTTTGTAAGTTCAGTTTTTTAGTTAATTTTTTTTCGAATTCATGATTTTTTTTTTTATTTATTTTAAGTAACTGTTTTTGAATTATTTTAGTTCATTTGTTTCGAATGCATGTTGAATTTTGGTATCCTGTAAGTTCTTTTTTTTTTTTTTAAATTAAATCTAATTATATTTGAATTGGGTATTTTGTATTTCAATTGCTTATTATGATTGTTTGATGTTTGCAAGTTCTGTTTTTTAGTTCATTTTTTTCGAATTCATGATTTTTTTTTGAGGTTTTTTTATTTATTTTAAGTAACTGTTTTTTAATTATTTTAGTTCATTTGTTTCGAATGCATGTTGAATTTTGGTTTCTTTCGATTTGTGTGTTTAAAATCTGTTTATTCCGTGAATTTGCTGGGAGTAGATTGATAAATCAGAAAAGATTGATAAATCTGTTTAAAGTAGATTGATAAATCTGTTTAAAATCTGTTTCTTTCGAATTTAGTTCATATTGTAGAATTTGCTGCCTTGTTGGTGTATTGTATATTTGTATGTATTCTGTTTATTTTGTGAATTCAATTTGAATTGTAATTGAATTCTATCGTTTTATATGTTTAGGATCAACAAGAACCACGGATTCTTACTCTTGCAATGTAAGTTGTTCTCACATTTTTTTATAAAATGTTATGTGTTTATAATTGTTACTTAAAAATTACTTATATTGTGTATAATTATATTGAAGATTGTGTATAATTATATTGAAGATGGAGAGCTCTCAATCCAAAAGATCTGCTGCTTTTTCTCAAGAAATGTCACAGCCACTTTTTGAAAAGGATATGGAAGAATTGCAATCTACTTTGCCTCCAGATAAGAAGTTAAAAGCGGGGCGGGAATACATATGGAACAAGAAAAGTAAGAGGATATGGAAGAAAATTTGAAAGAGTTACAAGAAATGGAGAAAGGTAGTATTAATTTTATGTACTTGTAATTTTGTTACACCAAATTTATTATTTCATTGTTATCATTCATTAATATATCCTATAATGTTTTTTTATTTAGAGGTGCAACATGATGTATCTAACGATGGAGACGATGAAGTTGTTTTCGTTGACTCATTAGTGTGAATCACGCAATCAAAGGGAAAGCAACTCGCCAAAATTCAAGTTGTCTTTGGATAATTTATGTATTTCTAGTATTTGAGACTTAGAGACTTTATGTAATTTAATGAATTATTTGTTATATTTGAGACTTATAGATTTTATGTAGTTTTTGTCATTGATATTTTCAGATTTTATGTAAACAGGTCTATAATTAGGTCCAACAGGTTATTTATTCTCTTTAAAAAAAACAAAAAAAAAACACACAAAACAGGTCTGTTCAGGTCTGGACCTGACCCGGACCTGCTGAATCAGGTCCGGTCCCCGGTCCTCAGAATTGGCTGATTCAGGTCCCGGTCCTAACAGGTCCGGTCCAGGTCCGGTCCGGTTTTGGATCGGTGTACAACCCTAATTACGCTAGCCTCCTTACATTGGTGATAAGGAAATGATACACTCGTACGATTATTCTTAGCTTGTCTCCAAGAATTCGTCTTTAAACTATAAACCATAACATCCATTTTGTTTATATGATTTATAACTTTTACTAACTTGTAATCATCATTAACAGCATCAAATCCGAACCCAAAAGTAGTTGAAGTCATCGATAAGACCAAATCCGCGACTTCAACATGCTTGTAAATCCCTGTCAATGGATTAAATACTATGATATCTAAACAATCCGACGGCATCCTTACAATACAATGCAAACCATTGCACGAGCCAACAAAAGAGACGAAACAATAATCCTTTTATGATCTTATGGGAAGAGGTACTTTATTCATTTTAGTGTATGGACGTGTCAAACAGTCGTGTAAATTCGCGGTGTAGAGACATAATTTACTTGTGATGTCGAGGTCAGTGGAAAAAATGAAGAGGTGATCAACGTTGTCTAAGGCATGAAGGGGGTGATTCAAGTGAAAATAGATGAATTCGGGACTCGAAATTAAGGAGTTCAAATGTTTGGAAACACATTTAAATCGACAAAGTGATTTTACGGGTAATCTGTGGAGTATTTCGTTGATTAGTATATGATATCGATTGGTTCGACTTGTAGTAGTCATCGAAGAGTTTTCTTTTCTGCTTACCTAGAAGAGAATTTTAGGGATTTGATGGAAAATATAAAAATATATGGAAGAATTAAGGGTTTTGATGCGTTTTAAAGTTTTAAGTTTATGCTATCCACAATATACTCTGCTTGTATAGTCACAAACTCAAGATTTAATTACTTCCTCTGCTTGTATTGTCTTATTTGGGTTTGGATTATTTTACGAGCTGAAGATAAAAATTGGTATAAATACCAAGAGTTTTAGTTTTTATTTTAAATTTTTTTTAGGAAATTAAGAGTTTTATTTAGATTGGGAGCGATTATTTAGAGCTTTAGATTATCTAGAATTTATTTGTTAGATATAACTTACGAATTACTCTAAGCGTGTTAAGATATTTTATATCTTATTATTTGAATTTGTGATCTATGTATGTCATGAATAAGAATAGGAACAGTTAAATTGTTATTTTTTTTTTAACATACATTGTTTTAGGAATATTCTAAGCTTAATAAATTCAATTTGTCATACTTGTATAATACATTAGGTAACAATTACCATTATCTAATGGTATTGGTTTCTACCTATTTGTTAGATCTCTAAAAGTTGAGGTAATAATTACTCTTACGAAAGGGTCGGGTTTAAATAAATCATTCTCATGTTTAAACCAAACAAATGAACATGTAATAATTAAATAATTCATTTTCTGGCATCTCCTAATCTATTTCCTTTCCACTCAATTTTCAATACTCATACCAAAACTCTTTAAGGGGGCGTTTGGTTCGCGGAATATAGGTATGAAGTATGAGTTTAGAATTACTAAAACTCATACCATATGTTGGTTGTCAAAAATTTGAATTTTAAACTCATACCTCAAACCCATGAGGCCAGGTATGGGGTTTAGAAACCTTTGGGGGAGGTGAGTTTGGCTCAATTCATTCACATGGTATTAAGTATCAAGTTCCAATCCGATACCACCTTAACCTCATTTCTAATTCCAAACACATACTACTCTGCGAACCAAACACCCCCAAAGTATGATCACATTATAAGAGTCGTAACAAGACTCGAGATTCATAGCAATAATCGTAACAAAATTGCATTAATATAAATTAGCAATAATCGTAACAAAATTGCATTAATATATATTAATGAAGCAAAAATAAAGATGGCCAATTCAATACTTTATAATTTGCAAAACTAAAGACCAGATTCTTCAAGTTACAATTCAATGAGGATACTAATGTATGTTTTTCATAATAATGAAAAACTTAGCTTTCTAATGGTTTATAATTAAGATACATAAAATCATAATCAAAATCAAAATTAAAAAACTTTCTTGCTTGTTTTGATAAAGAATTAGCACACAGTGTTCATCAATATCATTAGTAAACGTAGATTAGCTCCCTTCTTCCTTGTTTTACCACAGCATCATCGCGTCCATTTGTTGTTCATCAATCGTTTCCCTTGTCCTTGAAGATTAAAATCCCTTTGTTGTTGTTGTTGTTTAGCCAAAGCATTATTAGTACGACCTTTAGTACGCTTTCGACTAGCTAATCTAAATACCTCTTTAAAAGTAGTTAAACGAAATTCCTGAAAGAAAAATAGAATCCGTATTAGCTAGAATTATCACACAAAAGCTCAATAGTTCAATCCAACTTCATAAAATGTGAAAAGAAATTTATAAAACATTACGAAAGGCAATGAGGCATACCTTGTTGACGCGTAATGGTCTACCACCAGGAATGTTAACAAGGGATCCGTTGCATACATAACCCATAGTTGAACTAGGAATCACGTATGTCATGGAATTAGCCGCGGTTGTACTTGTAGGAATTACATCTATCATCACCCTTTTCAAATTGTTATTTTTTATGTCAAACAAGGTAATACAAGAATGTGTTCCATCCCAAATCAAAATCTCATCTTTTGATTTATTGGTGTAACCAAGAAGCCTCCCTCAAACGCCAAGTTCTATGACAAATGTTATTCACAAAAACACGAAAGTCAATTTCAAACAACTTCACCCATGATTCTTTCACCCCGTACTCTTTCATCACCCATACATCGAATTTACTTGTACTTAAAATCTCATAAAAGAAATACAAACACCCGTCTAAAACTCCTAATTCTGGATTTGAACAAGATCTAGGTACTAAAGAGTTAGGACACGCGATGTCTTCCCTCCATGTCTCGTTACATATATCGAAACAAGCAATCTCCAATTGACCTAGGGGTGAATATATAAGCCAATGAAGTAAATGGTTGTCTATTACGGCTGCCTCCATAAGAGAGTCCATGTACCTATTCAATGATCTAGGAAAATTCTGAGCTCGTCTCCAAGAATTCGTCTTTAAACTATAAACCATAACTTTCGAATCTACTACTCGTAGATCATCAAAATGATTGCTTGTAACTTTCACAACTTTGTAATCATCATTAACATGATCAAACCCAAACCCGAACCCAAAATTTGTAAAATGTCTATCTTCTGATATTGGTATGCTACTAGTCCCATGGAAGGCCAAATCCGTGACTTCGATACGCTTATAAATTCCTGTCGATGGATTAAATATAATGATATCTAAATAAATCGACGACATAATTACCGTGCAATGCAAGCCATTACACGAGCCAGCAAAAAAGAATTGATGATCAAAATTAGTATATCTTCCTAAGGGAATAGGTATTGTCGTTTAAGTTGAAGGTGTAGAGACTTCTTTTGGTACGTCCCTCGTTAAAGTCGTATGCAAAGACGAAGATGTGATTGACGTCTAAGGCAAGGTTGAGGTGAAATTTGATGAATTCGGGACTTGAAATTAGAGTGTTCAAATGTTTACAAACACACTTAAATCGGCAAAGTGATTTTGCGGGTAATCTATGGAGTATTTCGTTGATTAGTATATGGTATCGTTCGTTTGGACGCATAGTAGTCATCGAATCCGCTTTCGAGTTTTCTGTAATGCTTGCCATGGAGGGGGAAAAAAAGAAACAAAGCTAGGGTTTAAATGGAAATTAAAGAACCATGGAATAGTTATTAGAGGCGATATATGAAATATGATAATATGTTTTTGCTACCTATGAATTCTCTTCTTTTATCACAAATTCTATCTTCTTCTTATTCTTTTTAAGGCAATAAAAAATTCTTTTTTTCTTTTTAAGGAAAATAACAAATTCTATCTTTTATACAGTCACAACTCAAATTTAGGGTTTTTTTTTTCCTTACTGAAATAACTTTATTAAGAAAATTGATTAAAAATTTATTTCCTTTCTAAACTATATACTTGGTACTAAAGTATTCACCAGAGTTATCCTTAACGAAAAAGATATATATTAAGTTATATATCTGATAAAAGAGTTTTAGTCCCGTCAATAAAAAAAAATTAAAAGTTTTAAGGGTAGACATTTGATGAATTCAAATTTCAACTAACTTTATTTTAATTGACTTTACTTTTATGATTTACAAATTACAAGTCTTACTATTATAAAATCGTGCATCGCACAAGGCAAAAACTAGTACGTATATTAAAAGGCATTCCAACATATCTCATTATATAATTAAATTTAATCAATTTTAACAAGATTCGAACATCTTACCACTAAGCAATGCCACATTCAAATATTCAATGTTCTTTATTGATTATAAAATATTACGGATAATATGTAGTATATATATATATATATATATATATATATATATATATATATATATATATATATATATATATATATATATATATATATATAAAAAAAAGTTTGAATCATTCATTAATTTAAATGTATACTACGTATTAATTATCAGTTTATCACCCACAAGGCCACAACCGGGGACATTACCGGACCAAAATACTAGTTGAAAATCAAAAGTTGGCCCAATAGAATGAGACTATAAGCACATGAGGCCTTTCTTCTACCCAGAGACTCTGATTTATTCCCTTAACCAATATAACTTTGATTCTTTCACCTTTTTCATGATCTTATTACTTGTTTAAAACCAAGTCAAAAAAGTAAGTCTAAACATATCAAATCATAAAAATAAATAAAATTAAATAAAATTAAAAATTAAAAAAAAAAGTTATGATCGTAGTTTATTGATTTATGTCCGATTTTTATCATCACTAACAATCTTTAATTCTGTAATTAAACATTATGGAATTTATATATTCACGAACTCTTAATAACATCGGTTTACACTAAATTAGTGTAAATCGGGCTGGGCTGTAATGCCCCGTATTTTAAAGTCATTAAAAATATGGATTTTCGAAATATTTTACAAAATATTTATATGATAATTTTATACCTACATTTTATAATGATTTTAATTATACGAGTCAAGCTAAAATTTGCCGTATCCAAATCAAATTTTCAACCACTTATACCTTGCACCCGATTCAAACGACAAAGTATCAAATTAATTTTTTTTATACTCAAGTCTAATTCATATTTTTAGTGTACTAGTACTACACAAAAGCATATGTCAACCTTAGCTAGCATCCTTCTTCAATGCTACCTTCTCATCTTTCTCCTCATGATACGTAAGTATCATTTCTTCCATTCACCATAGCACCTTCATGGAAGCTCCTCCTCCAAAACTTCACCTTTTACCACCTCCCTTCCTCCAAGTGTCAAAAATAAGGTGAAACACCATTACAATTACCTCAATCCTCCTCCGATCATATGTGGCCTCATGATAATCATTCACCAAAAATGAGTTTCAACCAGAATTTCCAATCCAAATTGCCTATAAATAGTTGAAGTTTTATGCTTAATTTCATCCCAAATCAGTGAAGAAACTCCAAATTCTTTCCCCACCTATTCATCCACCCGAGTCGTGCCGCACCACCACCCCCAACCCGCCTTGCGGGCTACTGCACGCACCACCTCCTCCTTCCTCCCTTGTTATTCCTTCCGTACTCCTACATCAACCAAGAAAACAAGTTTGTCTTTGTTTGTTCCTTGATAAATTAACAAAGAGTAAGACTTTCATTTTTTAACTATTAGTATTACAATTGGTTACTACTACTAGTGATATCTAGTTATTTACTACTACTACTTACTATACGTATACTACTTTTTCTATTACTACTACTACTGTTGTTGTTGTTGTTGTTATTGTTGTTGTTGTTGTTATGACTACTACTACCTACGTATTATATCACTACTACCACTATGTACTACTCATATTGTATACTCCAACCCACTACAATCATTATCATTATCACCTTGATAGATTATTAAAAATTGATTTATAAAGTAACTTTTAAATTATAAACGGATTAAATTAATCAATTGTTCATGCACAACTAGTAAAGTCGGTATTTTAGTCCTCGTGTCTATGGGTTGAAAAGTATTTGATTAGGATTGTTGGTTTGTTATAGGAGGAATTTCGGGTTCGAAATTAGGAGTTCCGTACTTGTGTGCAAGGATCAAGGTACGTACACGTGGCTAGATTTTTTAAAAAGTGGCTTTTATATGCAACGTGTTTTACATGTTAAGTGATTTCGAGTCATGTTTAAATGTTTGTGAAATATATTTCGGTGAAACATGTTTTAAGTGTTTGATCTCAAATGTTTAATATTTCATACGGTTGATTATAAACTTGTACTGATATTCAAGATATTTTAAAAGGGAGTTTTATTATTTATATTATCCCGAGTATGGAAAATTGGAAAGTTTATTTAACAGGATTTGTTCCTTGGATCTTTGGATTTTCAACTCCCACTATGCGGAGTAAGTTGAAGACTATGGACTTTGTATGACCTAGTCTTTCCCCTTGACAGCAATATGTAAAGGAGTTAATAGCTTGGGGGTGTGCACACTTAGGTGGTAAAATGATTTTTGAAAATATGGACTGATCCATCCTATTCGGAATTATCTTTGGAAAGTTGGTTATTTCGGAAATTGGTTCTTTTGACAAGTTTTTATACACGAATTTATATTCAAGAATGGTTGGATAAATTATGATTTATTAAAGTTAAATCTTTTCGAAAGCAGGTTTAATTAATTAAATTGATTTTACATGTCTAGCATTTGTATGTACTTAGCATTTTGGCTAATACATATTTGTTTTGTTTTGGCTTGGCCCTACTTATCATTTTGATAAGTAGATAGGTGATGGCGATCGGAGAACGTGAACTATATGCTGCATTGGGAATGATGGGCGGTGATCACCTAGTTTAATTTAGTAGACATAGTATTAGTGGTGTAGTTACTTTGAAAATGTATCAAACTATTATTACAACTATTATTATTATTAATGAAAGACAAGAACTATTTTCCGCTACAAAACTCTGTTAAGCCTTACGTAATCACGTGGCGGTAATACTCCCATGTTACTCCCTAAAGTTGGATTATTATTGTTAATTTTAGAGAGTAATTTGGGGGTGTTACAAAGTGGTATCAGTTTTTGGGTCTTAAAAAGATAAAAAAAAATTGGTATATAAAACTGATGGGTAGACCTAAGAAGGGCATATAGGATAGAGTTTCGCATTTGTTTTTTTTCTGAAAGTATATATTAAGTATATATTTAAGTAAAAACTACTTTCTATTTTAATACGAAGAAAGATTAATAGTGGGGATTATTGGATTGACAATGAGCTCTGGCCAAGGCAGGATTTGGGCTCTGAGCAATGTCGACCCTAACCTCTCCTACCTGGGATCTCATTGGTCCAATTAATCAAGTATTCAACTTACAACTATATATAATATTTTCGAAATTAAAAGAATTTGAAACGTATTCAAAAAGTAATTTCGAACTTTACGTGAATTATGTGCATATGGACTATGCAAACGTCCAAATTATATTTTAGAATACAAAGGTTCGAATTAAAATTCGAATTGCATTGAGATTGGTAGTCTTTTGGGAATTTTATATCCCACGGTATATTAGTGAAGGTTTATGGATTATTATTCGATAATTATTCCTAAATTGGAAAAGGATTGGAAGGTGAATTTCACTCTTATGTGAATTATATGATCAAGTGTTTTGTTAATTTGTGTGTCATAATTGCATGCAAATTATGATAAAATCTTGTGATGATTTATTTTGAGATGCTATCTAGAGTTGCTTTTAAATGGCAATTTAAACTTACCAGTTAATTTGATAAAACGTTTAGTATCTTGTGAACAGTAATCACAATTCTGAGTCTTAGCGGGTATATGAACAATTTGTTTGTAAATTCATGTGTCTAATTACCACATTATTCAGGATCATGTCTCTAAGGCAACGAATTAAGAAAGGGAGTAAGTCCAAAGTCAGCTCTGTCATCAAAAGGCTAACCAAAATAACCGAAAACATAGTCGGTATTGTCTCAAACCAGGGAAAAGCCCATAATGACCTTGATGCTTTTGGGGAAGTTTTTAAAAGAATAGCTGCGGTCAAACCACCCACTTACCTTGGCAAAGTAGACCCAGCGAGCTTAGAAAATTGGGTGAGAGAATTTGATAAACTTTTTGATGCTATTAATTGCCCCGAGGAATTAAAAGTCAATAATGTTGTTTATTACCTTAGAGAGGAAGCCGATTTGTGGAGTCAAAGGAGAGATGAATTGTTGAGTAATCCTAACTTTGGGTGGGCTCAATTAAAGGAAGCTTTGAGAGAGAAGTTTTACCCTTCCTATTTGAGGAAGCAGAAGTGCATGGAGTTTACGAACCTTAGAATGGGGAACATGACGATTAATGAGTATTATAGCAAGTTCATTGAGTTAATGAGATTTGCACCTGAGGTAGTGCCAACTGAAGCACTTAAGGCACAGAGGTTTGAACAAGGTTTGACTTTGACCCTTCAAGGAAAACTAGGAGGAGTGACCTTTGAAACTTTAGATGAGGTTTATGGGAGAGCAGCGCACCTTTATAGGATCAAGGGGAGAGAGCTAGAGGGAAACTTTTCTAGGGAAAAGAGGAAGCCTAGTGGGACTTTCAATGAGAGTGAGAAGTAACCCAAAGTTGAGGGGAACCCGAGTGGGAATTTCAATGGGAAAAGGGACAACAGGGGTAATTTTGAAAGAGGGAATGGGAACCGAGGAAATGGAGACAAACCCAAGAGAACCTATTTTTTGCAAGAGATGTACGAAGAACCACCCAGGAAGAGATTGTGAGGGAAACCTAGTGATCTGCCGCTACTGCCAAAAGCTAGGCCACCGTGAGTATGAGTGTTACAAGAAGGTTTCAGATGAGCAATCGGGTAAACCCCAAGATGAGAAGAACCAACCCAAGCCAATTCAACCCAGCGGATTCAATCCTAAGCCTGGACCCAACAAAAACAGTGGAGCCACTCCCAAGGGTCGTGTGTTCGTGATGAACAGTCGTGAGGCGCTGCAACTGCTTCTGATGTGGTAATTGGCAATTTCTTTATTTGTTCTATGTCTACTAAAGTCTTGTTTGATTCAGGGGCGTCTCACTCTTTTATTTCTAGAACTTTAGTAGATAGACTCAAGTTAGAGAATCCGGTGTCTAATTCCTTAGATATTGCTATCCCATCAGGGGAAGTGGTGAGTTGCACTAAAATGCATCAGAGTGTACCTCTTGTTATTTCAAGTGTAGAGTTTTCGTCAGACTTAATCGAGCTTGACTTACAAGATCTCGATGTTATTTTGGGGATGGACTGGTTGGGCAAGTACAAGGCCCAAATTGATTGCGAGGCCCAAAAGGTCACGTTGTGTGGCCCGGGCAAAGTTAGGGTAACCTATCGAAGGGAAGGAAAGAAATCAGGGTTAAAAATCATATCTGCTTTGCAACTTAAGAAATGTGTAGCAAAGGGACACCCACTGTATTTGTGTAGCGTCCAAAGGATAGAAGAAGGAGGTAGAGATGATGGGAAAAATATTCTAGTAGTAAATGAATTTCTTGACATTTTCCCCGAAGAAATTCCAGGGATGCCACCTGTGAGGGATGTTGAGTTTACTATAGACTTAGTGCCCGGGACAGGACCTATTTCAAAGGCTCCGTATAGGATGGCCCCGGCTGAGATGAAAGAGCTGAAGACTCAGTTAGACGACTTGTTAGAGAAAGGATATATCCGGCCTAGTTCATCACCATGGGGTGCACCAGTTTTGTTCGTGAAGAAGAAGGATGGAAGCTTGAGGTTGTGCATAGATTACCGCGAGTTGAACAATGTGACGATCAAGAATAAGTACCCGCTGCCTAGGATTGATGATTTGTTCGACCAGTTGAAAGGGGCGGGAATATTTTCGAAGATTGATTTGAGGTCAGGGTATCACCAGTTGAGGATAGCAGAGTCGGACATTGCAAAAAGTGCTTTTAGGACTCGTTATGGTCACTATGAATTCACTGTAATGCCATTTGGGTTAACCAATGCACCTGTTGTTTTTATGGATTTAATGCACCGAATTTTTAGGCCATACTTGGATAAGTTTGTTGTGGTGTTTATCGATGATATTTTGGTGTATTCGAGGAACCCGGAAGAACATGAGGATCATTTGAGGATGGTATTGTCAACCTTGAGAGAGCATCAATTGTACGCCAAACTTTCAAAGTGTGAGTTTTGGTTGGAAGAGGTAGCTTTCATAGGTCATGTGATTTCTAAGGAGGGAGTATCGGTGGATCCAGCAAAGATAAAGGCTGTAAGTGAATGGCCGACCCCAAGGAGTGTGTCAGATGTTAGGAGTTTTCTTGGGTTAGCAGGTTATTATAGGAGATTTGTTAAAGATTTCTCGAGAACTGCAAGGCCTATGACGAGCCTAATGAGGAAAGAATGTAAGTATGAGTGGACCCCAGATTGTGAGAAGGCTTTTCAGACATTGAAAGAGAAGTTGACTACGGCACCTGTGTTAGCTCTGCCTGATGGAAGTGAGCAGTATGAGGTGTATAGTGATGCGTCAAAGTTCGGGTTAGGTTGTGTGTTGATGCGAAATCGGAAGGTGATTGCTTATGCTTCGAGACAATTGAAGCCTTATGAGGTAAACTACCCAACGCACGACTTGGAGTTAGCCGCAATTGTGTTTGCTTTGAAGATTTGGAGGCACTATTTGTACGGGGTAACTTGTAAGATCTTTACCGATCACAAGAGTTTGAAGTATATATTCACTCAGAAGGATTTGAACATGAGACAAAGGCGATGGTTGGAGTTGATCAAGGATTATGACTTGGATATCCAATATCATGAGGGAAAGGCGAAAGTGGTAGCCGATGCGTTAAGTAGGAAGTCAAGTCACGGAGTCAACACAATGATTCTCCCGGATCAATTGTGTGTGGAATTCCAAAGGATGAATTTGGAGGTATTGGAGCATGGAGAAGTGGAGAAAATGTTATGTGCCTTAGTGATCAAACCATCAATTTATGATGAGATTTGAGAAGGCCAGCCTGGGGATGAGAAGCTGAGCAAGATTAAAGAGAAAATCGAGGAAGGGCAAGTATTGGACTTTTCAACAGCCGATGATGGAAGCATGAGGTTTAAAGGGAGATGGTGTGTCCCCTAGAATCGAAGTGATCTTAAGCAGAAGTTGATGGAGGAAGCTCATAGTTCTCCTTATTCAATGCATCCCGGAGGGGACAAGTTGTATAAGGACATGAAAAAGACGTTCCGGTGGCCGGACATGAAGAGGGAAGTGGCAGAATTTGTGGCTAGGTGTTTAACTTGTCAAAAGGTCAAGATCGAGCATAAGAGACCCCAAGGAACAGTTCAATCCTTGGAGGTGCCTAGTTGGAAGTGGGATTCGATCTCTATGGATTTCGTGGGAGCCTTACCCAAGACTCGAGCAGGAAATGATACAATTTGGGTCATAGTGGATCGACTAACGAAATGTGCAACGTTCATACCCATGAGGAGTACATGGTCGATGGATCAATTGGGAAGAGCGTATGTGAAATTTGTGGTGAAATAACATGGTGTGCCGAAGGACATCATCTCGGATAGAGACTCAAGGTTCTTATCCAACTTCTGGCAGAGTTTACAAAAGGCTATGGGGACTAAGTTGTTGATGAGCACTGCATTCCACCCCTCAACCGATGGTCAAACAGAGAGAACAATACAGACATTAGAGGATATGTTGAGATCATGTGTTATGGAGTACCAGGGTTCGTGGGAAGATCGTTTGGGCTTGATAGAATTTTCCTACAACAACAGTTATCATGCAAGCATTGGGATGGCGCCATTCGAGGCTTTGTATGGGCGGAAGTGTAGAAGCCCAATATGTTGGAACGATATAAGTGAGACAGTTACACTCGGGCCGGAAATGACGAAGAGACGGTGAAACAAGTAAAGATGATTCAAGAGAAAATAAAAGCCGCACAAGACCGTCAAAAGAGCTATGCAGATTTGAAGAGAAGGGATGAGGAATACGAAGTAGGTGAGAAAATTTTATTGAAAATATCTCCAATGAAGGGAGTAATGAGGTTCGGGAAGAGAGGAAAGCTAAGCCCGAAGTACATCGGACCCTACGAGATCATCCAAAAGGTGGGAAAGGTAGCATACAAGTTGGATTTGCCTAACGAGCTAGAAAAAGTTCACAATGTGTTCCATGTGAGCCAAATTCGGAAGTACATACCAGATGTATCCCATGTTTTACAGCCTGAAACTATCGAGATGGACGAGAACTTGACTTATGAGGAAAGGCCTGTGAAGATTTTAGATAGTAAGGTGAGAAGCACTAGGAACAAGGATGTTAAGATAGTCAAGGTTCTATGGTCAAACCATAAAACCGAGGAAGCTACTTGGGAAGCCGAAGCAAATATGAGGAAAAGATATCCAGAGTTGTTTTCTGAGGTTAGTAGTCGAGTTACGGGGGCGTAACTCCTTTTAAGGGGGGTAGAATGCAATAGAGTTTCACGCTTTTGCCCTTTTTGGTTAGTTTTGAGTCATTTTGAGTTATACATAAGTCATAGTTTGAGTCGTTCCAAGTCATTGTAGGTTGTACGTGAGTCAATTGAACAATTCAAATAATTTTACTTATTTTCAACTTAAGTTTCGAGGTCGAAACTTCTTTTAAGGGGGGTAAACTATAATACCCCGTATTTTAAAGTCATTAAATATGGATTTTCGAAATATTTTACAAAATATTTATATGATAATTTTATACCTACATTTTATAATGATTTTAATTATACGAGTCAAGTTAAAATTTGCCGTATCCAAATCAAATTTTCAACCACTTATACCTTGCACCCGATTCAAACGACAAAGTATCAAATTAATTTTTTTTATACTCAAGTCTAATTCTTATTTTTAGTGTACTAGTACTACACAAAAGCATATGTCAACCTTAGCTAGCATCCTTCTTCAATGCTACCTTCTCATCTTTCTCCTCATGATACGTAAGTATCATTTATTCCATTCACCATAGCACCTTCATGGAAGCTCCTCCTCCACAACTTCACCTTTTACCACCTCCCTTCCTCCAAGTGTCAAAAATAAGGTGAAACACCATTACAATTACCTCAATCCTCCTCCGATCATATGTGGCCTCATGATAATCATTCACCAAAAATGAGTTTCAACCAGAATTTCCAATCCAAATTGCCTATAAATAGTTGAAGTTTTATGCTTAATTTCATCCCAAATCAGTGAAGAAACTCCAAATTCTTTCCCCACCTATTCATCCACCCGAGTCGTGCCGCACCACCACCCCCAACCCGCCTTGCGGGCTACTGCACGCACCACCTCCTCCTTCCTCCCTTGCTATTCCTTCCGTACTCCTACATCAACCAAGAAAACAAGTTTGTCTTTGTTTGTTCCTTGATAAATTAACAAAGAGTAAGACTTTCATTTTTTAACTATTAGTATTACAATTGGTTACTACTACTAGTGATATCTAGTTATTTACTACTACTACTTACTATACGTATACTACTTTTTCTATTACTACTACTACTGTTGTTGTTGTTGTTGTTATTGTTGTTGTTGTTGTTATGACTACTACTACCTACGTATTATATCACTACTACCACTATGTACTACTCATATTGTATACTCCAACCCACTACAATCATTATCATTATCACCTTGATAGATTATTAAAAATTGATTTATAAAGTAACTTTTAAATTATAAACGGATTAAATTAATCAATTGTTCATGCACAACTAGTAAAGTCGGTATTTTAGTCCTCGTGTCTATGGGTTGAAAAGTATTTGATTAGGATTGTTGGTTTGTTATAGGAGGAATTTCGGGTTCGAAATTAGGAGTTCCGTACTTGTGTGCAAGGATCAAGGTACGTACACGTGGCTAGATTTTTTAAAAAGTGGCTTTTATATGCAACGTGTTTTACATGTTAAGTGATTTCGAGTCATGTTTAAATGTTTGTGAAATATATTTCGGTGAAACATGTTTTAAGTGTTTGATCTCAAATGTTTAATATTTCATACGGTTGATTATAAACTTGTACTGATATTCAAGATATTTTAAAAGGGAGTTTTATTATTTATATTATCCCGAGTATGGAAAATTGGAAAGTTTATTTAACAGGATTTGTTCCTTGGATCTTTGGATTTTCAACTCCCACTATGCGGAGTAAGTTGAAGACTATGGACTTTGTATGACCTAGTCTTTCCCCTTGACAGCAATATGTAAAGGAGTTAATAGCTTGGGGGTGTGCACACTTAGGTGGTAAAATGATTTTTGAAAATATGGACTGATCCATCCTATTCGGAATTATCTTTGGAAAGTTGGTTATTTCGGAAATTGGTTCTTTTGACAAGTTTTTATACACGAATTTATATTCAAGAATGGTTGGATAAATTATGATTTATTAAAGTTAAATCTTTTCGAAAGCAGGTTTAATTAATTAAATTGATTTTACATGTCTAGCATTTGTATGTACTTAGCATTTTGGCTAATACATATTTGTTTTGTTTTGGCTTGGCCCTACTTATCATTTTGATAAGTAGATAGGTGATGGCGATCGGAGAACGTGAACTATATGCTGCATTGGGAATGATGGGCGGTGATCACCTAGTTTAATTTAGTAGACATAGTATTAGTGGTGTAGTTACTTTGAAAATGTATCAAACTATTATTACAACTATTATTATTATTAATGAAAGACAAGAACTATTTTCCGCTACAAAACTCTGTTAAGCCTTACGTAATCACGTGGCGGTAATACTCCCATGTTACTCCCTAAAGTTGGATTATTATTGTTAATATTAGAGAGTAATTTGGGGGTGTTACATGGGCTGGGTAACTTCTTCACCGAGAAAAACACCCACCACCATCGCCACTCCCTTAGCTTCTCCCAAGAATCCGGCGTCCCCCTCCGATTCGACCTTGCTGACCACCCCTATCCCCCAATTCCAGCGCCGCTGACCTCCCCCCATCCCCCGATTCCGGCGTCAGTGATTCGAGGATAGAGAGAGAGGTCGAGATGAGAGAGAAACGGGTAACGACGAAGGACACAAGGGAGGAATTCGGGTCGGAGGATTTTGGCAGATCTTCAGAGGAGTTGTTGTTCTCAAGCTTAATTGATTTCGCCATTAAGGGAGAGAGAAAATGTAGGAAAATACTTGCTAATTGTAGAAGAAAAATGGTTGAATTTTGAAGAAAGTGAATATGATGGAGGATAATTGTATTGTATTGTTGGGAAGAAGGTGGTAGGTGGGAAAGGGTGTGATATCATGTGGGACTGAAATTGCAACTTCAAGAACACAACTTCCGAAACTGAGAGGTGATGATTGCTATAGAACAAAAACTTTTGCATTTTGTGTTTATTTTTTTTTATTTTGATACTCTGCTTTTGTGAAAAAAAAGGTCACTTTTGTGTAAAAAAAGGGTAACTTTTGTGAAAATATAGGTCACTTCTATAAAATAAAATAAAAAAAAGGGGTCACTTTTGTAAAAAAAAAGGGTTATTTTTGTGAAAAAAAAGGGTTACTTTTGTGAAAATATGGGTCACTTTTGTGAAAATATGGGTCACTTTTGGAAAAAAAAGGGTCACTTTTATAAGAAAAAAAGGTCACTTTTCATAAAATGTTCAATGTACAATAAAATTATTATAAACCAGGTGCATGCAAAAGGGATTGTTATATATTAATCAAATATACTCCCTCCGTCCCCTTTTGTTTGTCCCGTTTGAAGAAAAATCACGGGAATTAAGGTGGAGAATGTGATGTAATGAAAGTACATGAGAAAGTAAAATTTCCAATTAATAAAGTAATAAAAGTGCATGGGAAAGAGACATTTCCAATTAAAAAAATAATTAAAGTACATGGGAAAGATAAATTGATAAATTTAAGAGTGTAAAACATTAAATTAGGGTCTGTTCTCTTACGTTGAAATTCAGTTCAGTTCAGTTCAGTTCAGCTCAGTTCAGTTCAGTTCAGTTCAGTTCAGCTCAACTCCTAATTTCCTTCTCTTATAAAATATTCAGTTCAGTTCAGTTTAGTTCAGTTCAGTCAATGAGAACAGACCCTTAGTCAAGAGTTGACACAATTTTTATGACAAATGTTAGGATAGGATAGGAAGAGCACTTAATAAGGACAAAAAAAAACAAGGGTATTAAAGTTTTTTTATTATGTATCTTATAGTAATAATTAATTAATTATGAAACTGTGACAATCATTTAGGGGCACCCAAAATGCTAAAAGTGACAATCAAATGGGGGCAAAGGGAGTGCATTAGTACAAATCTAATAAGATTTCCGTGGCAATTGGACACTAAGGTGAATTAAGCATAGCCTTAATAGCCCTTACATAACAAATTAAAAGGCACTAGTGAAGAATTTCTACAAAATAAGTAAGTCTTGTATGTCTTATGTAGCCACATTGGTTTATAAGGATAATCTTTATTTATATACATGATTAACCCTTTTTTTCATAAGAGTAAATTCTCATATGTTGAAATTCAGTTCAATTCAGCTTCTAATTTCCTTCTCTTATAAAATATTCAGTTTAGTTTAGTTTAATTCAGTTCAGTTCAACTGAGTTCAGTCAACGAGAATAGGCCCTTATCCATTTTGTCCAATAAAGTAACTTCAATTCATTATATGAGTAATATCAACTAGTTTAGAAACAAGTAATTTTATTTGTTCATTCGAGTAACTTGTTAAAAAAAAAACAAAAAAAATCAAGTAATCATATTTGCTCATTCAAGTAACTCCAAACTTTTTTTTCTTTTAAAAAAATCAAAGAATGATTCCATTTATGTAAAAGACTAAGAAAGTAACCCCCCCTTTTTTTTTTCTCATTTAATAAGTACCTACGCAATTCAAAAAAAGGTAGCCTCATTTATACGTCATTATGAGGTTCGTGACTTCTTAATTTTTAATTAATTGTCTTACATGTGAAGTGGCCACATCATGTGCCTAACTACATATAAGAATTTGTAATTACAATATCATTTTTTTTAACACAAATTACAGTAACACAACTTTCATAATAAAAACAATTTAATTTTAAGCATACTTATGTGCAACTCCATCTCCATCCTTTCAAGCTTGGCACGAGCAGTGTCCTTTGTTGTATATATTTACACCTTTCCGATCCAAGTGTAGGCTTCACATTCTAATCTCGTGTTATAATGGTTCAGATTGAAATAATGATAAATAATCTAAAACCGTTTTGAATTCACATTCACCATTCCCATAAATAACAAGAAAAAAAAACCCTGTCTATCGAAGGAGGAAATTCTTGCTAAAGGACAAAAAGCATATAGCTTAGAACTTATACCACCAAAGTAAAATCAAATCAAATCAGATCATAGATGATGGTCTCAAATTCTCAAAGAAACCATATTCCATTTTCAAAAAATATCAGAAGGGTAATACGGTCATTTCAAAGAGATTTAGCCAATACATTGCACTAGAGTCTAGACGGGGGTATAGGGGGGAATAGTAGTGAAGAAGTACTGTCCTTTCCTGTTCCAACTTCACACTCTTTCTCTCTCCTCTTTTTCTCAACAACAACCAAAGCTCTTCCTTTCATGGCGGATTTTTCTCTTCCACATTTTTCCATTTTTACCCCTTCATTTATTCACCTCTAATATTACATCTTACTAGGTGGGTTCTTCATATACCATTTTCCTTATTTTTCTTTAAAAAAAAAAACCCGAAAAGTTTGCTTTTAGTACAATCTCTCTTCTCATTTTCACTGAAATAACGATATTTTCACTACATTTTCCCAGAAAAATTAATCGCTCTCTTATTCCCAAAAATTCTTCGTTAAATGAACCGCCAAAATCCTTCCTATTCTTCACTTTTCTGTTGATTCATCGCTAGAAAAGTGTTGGATTTTCAACAGTTTAAAGATTTCTAGTTTTTTTTTAGGGTTCTTCATTGTAGTTTATTTGGGGGTTTTTGGGGTTTTCTTTGTTTGATGTTCTGGGTTTTTAATTTTATTGCTATTTTTAGTAGGTGAGAAAGGTGTTTGCGTTGTATACAAGTTTCCTAAAAAGGTAAAAAAATTTGAAAGCGACAAACCCAGAAACTATGGCACCTTGGACCAGCTCTGATTTCCCTTCACTCAATTCCCAAACTCGCTCTTCATCCGGGTCAACTCGCCCTCTATTCGGGTCGACCCGACCTCCTATGGGGTCGTCGGGTCGGACCCCACATGGGTTTGGTGGGTCCCACCACCGTGGCAGAGGTGGGTCTGGTGGACCCTACCGTGGTGGTGGTAGTGGTGGTCGGATTAACGACGACCCGAATTCATCAACCGGGTTTGGTGGGTCCCACCGCCGTGGACGAGGTGGTGGTGCGCCCTTTCGCCGTGGTACCGGTTACCGTGGCGGCCGAGGTGCTGAAATGATTCATGAGAATGCTGATTATCCAAACCCATTTGATGATGATGATGTTAATGAGAAATTTGATGAGCTTGAGGTTATTGAAGAAAGCAATGATTTAGTTAAGAATCTTGGTAATCTTAACATTAATAATCCCAATATGATTAACTTTGATGCATACGAGGATATCCCAGTTGAAGTTAGTGGTGAAAATGTGCCAAATCCAGTGACTACATTTGCTGAGATTGATTTAGGGAAAGCTTTAAATGAGAATATTAGAAGGTGTAAGTATGTTAAGCCAACCCCAATTCAACGCCATGCTATTCCTATTGCTGTGAATGGCAGGGATTTGATGGCTTGTGCTCAAACCGGGTCCGGTAAAACCGCCGCCTTTTGTTTTCCGATCATTGCCGGTATTTTGAAGCGGGTTCCGCCTTATCGGCCCCCGTTGTCTCGTGGTGGTGGTGGTGGTAATGGTAGGATGGCTTGTCCTGTTGCCCTTATTATGTCTCCTACTAGGGAGCTTTCTTCTCAGGTGATAATCTTGGTTGATTATGTGTTTTTGTATCGGGTTTTGAATTTGTGTTTTTGTTTAAGATTGTGTGATTTGTGTGCTTTTTTATGTAGATACATGATGAGGCTACAAAGTTTGCTTATCAGACAGGAGTTAAGGTGGCTGTAGCATATGGAGGCACACCCATGGCTGAGCAGGTATATTAATCCCAAGATCTTGATTTGTTTAATGTTCTTGATTATAATGAATAAAGTATTTATTGGAAATTGCATGTTCTGTTTTCATGTTCTTCCAAGAAGATCATAGTTTATTGCTTGTTAATGTGGGGTCTACATAATTATTTATGTGTTCGCTGCTAAAGATTTGAGACATTTTCAGTTGTCGTTCTATTTAAAAATTTGTGAAAAGTACATGCTCTACTTTTTCCCTGTTTCTATTGTGCTTTGTTGAGTGAGCAATGTTTTGTATATGTTTCCCTGGCCATGGAAAGAGGGATCTATTTTGTGCTTCTATACTTGTAAAGGATTACATTTCCCTAGCTCACTTTCCTTTTTCTTGTTTTTACGAGTTCTTTCTTCGCAGTTTGTTTAAATTTGAAGCATTTGCTTTTGATCGACGAAGCAATTAATTAATCTCTTCGCCTTTCTTGTGTTTAATAAGCATTGTAGTACTAGACATCATGGCCTCATGGGTCATGGGGTAGTAGAAAGTGTCAATAATGTCACAATCATGTCTATGTAAGCATGTATCTTGAGCATTCCTATTTTTATTATGGAAGATTATGCTATTTTTCCCCCTAGTTTCCCTTTTGCTTTATTGAGTGAACTATGGGACGGATTTGTTTCCTTGGCTGTGAAAATGACCATCTTATTGTTAAAAGTGTTTTATATCGTTGCCTCCTTTCCTGTAACTCTTGTTTTTCCAAGTTCCTTTCTTGTTCACATATTTGCATTTGAGCTATAAGAATGTTGTGACGTCACTTGCATTTAAAGAAACATTATAATTGTAGATACCATTGACTAGTAGAATAGTGCAACTGTTCACGCAACCATGTCTAAATTATATAGCATCAGAAGCGTGCCAAAAAAGAGCTCCATTAACTTTATGTTGCCCATTGTCATTATGTAACTACTGCTGGAGCCTGTTATTTCCATTTTGAAGTGCCATTGAATGTCATTCTATGCTTATATATTTATTTGTGATTCAGATTCAAACTTGCTGTTAGATAATGCTAGTCATTGGTTTTTGTTTCCCCTTGTGGACAGTTAAGATTGCATGCTCCTTACTGTTTGGTAAATTCTTTTTTGAAGCTTGATCTGGTTTAAGAAAATTTTAAAGTCAATTTGTACAAGTTTGTCACTATTAAAGTTAATATGTTATATCCCATATACAGCTTCGCAGGTTGGCAAAGGGTGTTGATATTCTTGTGGCCACACCTGGTCGCCTGGTTGATATGGTTGAGAGAGGCAAAGTATCTCTTCGTATGATCAGGTATTTGGCTTTAGATGAGGCGGATAGAATGCTGGATATGGGTTTTGAGCCTCAGATACGTAAGATTGTCCAGCAGATGGATATGCCTCCGCCAGGTTCAAGACAGACTATGCTTTTCAGTGCCACATTTCCTACTGAAATACAGGTTAACTCTTATACAAGTATAATTCTCTTTTAACCCCCCCCCCCCCCACCACCCCCACCCCGACCCCAACCCTCCCTGTTTAATTTTAATGTTCTGGTAAGCCACATTATCCTGTTTATGTTTTTGGCTGCTGACAGTTGCAGTAGATTGTTTTTATTTATTTATTTATTTGTTTATTTAAATGTTTGAGTAACTAATTACATGCTTATCTTAAAACAAAGTACTATATATCAAGTACCAAGAAGTATCACATAACACATTGTTTGACCAAAAAGTTCATGTGTTTGTATGAAGTAAAAGTAGATATCCAACAGAATCCTGCTTAGTTAACTAGATCTTGCCTAAGTGGCTGAATAGCTGAGAGCTTGACAGTGTTCAAAGTGATTTTTTTTTTTTCCTCATTTGCGCCTTATTCTTTAATTGTTTTATGTGTTAGGTTATGTAAAAAAGTGGCTAGATCTCTGATACAAGAAACAGATGGTGCTGTGCTTGTATATAGACTAAGTTATTCGATTTGACTTCAACTTGTTCTAACCACGATAATGGTTGATGATTCACTGTGAGGCGTAAGGAAATAAAATTTGAGTTGGCCATTGATAGAGATGTGGCAGAATTTGGTCAGCTGAATTGGCTGAACTTGTTCATTGGCCTTCATGATCTCATGAACATCAGCATAACCCCAATGTCTCTAGAGATTCTCATGCTGAAGGTGGGATACGGGAAAATTGGCTCTACGCTGTTATGCTGATGCAACAAGGGCCAACAAGTAAACAACAAAGATGCCTGAGATTTATGCTATTGTTTTTCTTCATTTAATTTTCACGCCTAAAGCTTAATGACGCATTTAAAAAAAAATATTATTGTTTTTAATGTTTGGCATGTATCATGCATACAACCTGGATAGACTTGACCATATTATTTTCTTCTCACATATATGGTCTAGAATGTACTAATATGATTGGAATGTTGTGCAGAAGCTAGCGGCTGATTTCCTTACAAATTACATATTTCTTACTGTTGGAAAAGTTGGGTCAAGCACTGATCTCATCAAACAAAACATAGAGTTTGTTAGGGATTTCGACAAGAGACGGCATCTGAAGAATCTTCTCATGTCTCAGAAGCTGAATGGAACAAATGGAAAGGTTAGTGATTATGCTTACCGAACTAGTCAATTCAAAAACTACCTTTTGTTTGTAGTTATTGAGAAATGTGATTTAAATTATCTGTTGCAGCATGCTTTGACAATTGTTTTTGCTGAAACAAAGAGGGGAGTTGATGATCTTGAGTACTGGTTGTCTGGCAATGGCTTCCCAGCAACAGCAATACACGGTGACAAAGCACAATGGGTCAGTATTTAATCTTATCTCTGTGTTATACTGATTTTTCTTTTTAATTGTTTTGTTGTTGCCCACTTGTATTAGCATTAAGAGAACTCTACTGAAATTTGGTTTTTTCGTTCCTTAACATGTTAATGACCATGAATCCTAATAGCTTACTTGCTTGTCTGTTGTAGTTTCACTTGATAAACTGATAAGCTATGTTTAGGATTTCACAACTGCTATTATATCTTTAGATGAAGTGTGTGTGAAAAGTTTCACTACTATTTATTTTGCAGCTTTATAATAGTTCTTTTGTGTCTTATATTGTACTAAAATTTGCTGCTGAATGGTCTTTAGTTTTTTATGATTGTGTAATGACCATGGCTTTTTTTGCCATTGTTGGTTCTATTTAGTTGTCTTTCCAGTCATTATCTAACTAAGCTAATATCTATTAAGACAATAACTGTCTGCATGCCTTTGCTGTTCTTAAAGCGTAGCTTTAATTTTGGAAGTTTCTTATATATCTTGATTTGTTCCTTCAATGTGACGCTGTTTATTTCTTTTAATCTATTGTCTCATAAAGGAAAGAGAAAAGGCCTTGCGATCTTTCAGGAGCGGAACCACTCCAATTATTGTCGCAACTGATGTTGCAGCACGAGGGTTGGACATTCCATGTGTGGCTCACGTCATCAACTTTGACTTGCCTCGTGACATTGATGACTATGTTCATCGCATAGGTCGAACAGGACGTGCTGGTAATTCGGGTCTTGCAACTGCTTTCTTCAATGACAAGAACATGTCAATCTCCAAGGCACTCATTGAGGTTATGGAGGACAGTAACCAAGAAGTACCTTCTTGGCTTGCTGAATATGCTGAGACAACCTCGTCTTATGGATATGGTGGTGGCAGCAGTAGTCGCCGTTCCAGAAGTGGCAAGTTTGGTGGTCATGATTACCGAAGTTTTAATCAAGCTTCTAATGGCTACTCTGGTTATTCTGATTACTCCAACAATTACTCTGACCATGTTCCAAGTGCTGAACCTTTAGTTGATGATACATCTGCTGCTGCTGATCCTTACAACTCTCCAGAATATGGTTTTACTCATGGTTACGACAATATTGTACCCAGTGGCTGGGATTGATCCAGTTATCTGCTTAGCTAATCTATCTTTTGGCAGACCTCTTAAGACTGTTACTGCTTAGCATCGTTACATGCTCTCTGATATGCATAGCTAATGATAAATAGGATGTAAATGCAACTTTGGCAAGGAGCTTTGTTCGAACCAACCACGGTTCTGAGGCAAAGTTATAGTTAACTTTCACGAGGATTTGGGTGGGGTGGACTACTAATTGGAGCTTTTTGTACAGGTGGTTGGTATATCTATGTTTTTGACTATTGCTCAGTGACCTTGAACAATATATTTGAGATATATGAAAGCTTTGTTAGATCATCTAATTGTCTGCTGACTGCTTATTTTCTAGGAGTACTATGAAATTCGAGTGCATGCTTATAAACATCCAAGGTAGTGTGCATCCAGCATCCCCTTTAAGCGAGCCAATGTTTGGTAGTCTATAATCTGTGTCCTCAAATGATATGCAGAATTTTTGGCTGTCTCAGTTTTAAGGAATTAGCTATATGATTTATATATCCAAGAATGTGAATAAAAATGGTGAAGCCAACTCCCTTTTTTTTCAACTATATACTACTTCGTATCTGTTAGCTGGTATATTTTGTGATAGGAGTAAAACACCAGAATCCCAACAAATGATTAGGAGTTAATATTATGCAAACTAAATTACAAGATTTTTCTTTGAAGCGTCTTCTGCTGGCTAACATAAAAAAAGTAAATTCAAACTTGCATAAATTTCATCATTTTTTGTATCTTTCTAATGTGTTGTATTTATAACATTCCTTGTAACTAATTCACCTACAATGCCCTTTCTTCCCATAAACATGATTCATTAAATACATTAAATACAAGTATAATGTATATTGCGCATAAAGTAATTTATTTTCTTCTATGAAATCAACTTTGAAAGGTGAAATGCTCTACATATTCTTAGAAATACTCCATAGTTCCGTCTTCCATGAACTGCAGGGAAAAGCATCAATACAGCACAGCCTGTCCACGCTGCCTCCATAATAGATGATGAAAAAGAAAGGTGAAATGACTGACATTTTCTATATATATATCACAAAAGTCCGATCTCTCAGAGTCTACTGTTCACTCAACAAGTTCTTCTCTTCCTCCTCAATTCTACTTAGCCACTTGAAGCCAAGATCACATCCTGCGTTAGCAGCAATGTGGAACTGTTCTTTTGCAAGTTCTATTGGGTTAGCCTTTGAGTTCACAGAATTTGTTTTCCCAGCCTTTCGTTTCTTCAAGTTGAATTTAGTTATGGACTCTGGAACTGTGTGACCTGCAGTATCATAATAAGAGGTTTTATCAATTTTATGCTGCATTTACAGGCCGGCAATGGCAGAAAAACTCTCAAAATAATAAACAACCCAGCCCATCATCTAGCATTTACAGGAGTAGAACAGGAAGACAGGCTTATGAAGACACGAAATGCTGTTCATTTGGCAAAGGTATTGGCAGGAGAAGCCAAGGAGTTTAATCATCCTAATACTCATATTAAAAGATCACAATCAAGATTGGTTCACAAAGAGCCAAGTAATTTTGGCAGAGGTAATAGGAAACCTAGGAGTTACATTCCTCCCAACACTGAAGGGGTCACACACTCACACAAACAATAAACATATGCTACCCCTGGTTTCTACACAAAAGTTGATTTTTTTAGGTTGACGTTTGACTGTTTCTAATTTTATCATTATATTTATGGGCACAGTACAATTTTTTTATTATTATTTTTTTAATAAGGAAAAAAAGCACACACTATTAAAATCGAGAAAGTATATGCCATGAGAAGAAGAAACTAAATCATCAAGAGCAGACCTCTAAGGAGAAGAGATCCGTATACTACAGCTGCACCAGCATGTCCCTGCAAATACAGAAGCAAGGTGATTTGAACTCTGTTAATAATACTAAAGATAGTATCCCTTTCTCATTTAGTGTCCCCTTATTTCTATCTGCTGTTGCTTTTATTGGACTTCAAAAACTACCAGACAACAAAGCATAAGCATGGGTATATTTGACCTAAAGTGGAGCATCAGCAAAGGATCATGATCATGGAGAATCTTTGGTGCTAGTAAAAGTTGTCAAAGAAACTTAACGAGCCAAAGTTGATGGAGCTATTATACCATATATGAAGCAAACAAAGTACAGTCAGACTCCTTGCATTTAATCATAACATTACAGTTCATTGTATGAACCAATGAACTATTGTTTCAGAAAGTTAGTACAAACAAGTTGTAACCACTATAGGCCTTCTCAACACATCTAACATTCACTAATCACTACGCTACTAGGGAGCTAGCATGCAGAAACATTAAGGAAGCTCCTATGAGATCAACTTTGAGGTCTTTGACTGGTGGCAGGAATGAACAATTTAAAAGCAAAACCATCTTTTTAATTCACAAACTGAAACAACAGACATCTATGCACAAATATTTACATAAGAAACTGCTACCAACACATATTCTTACCACTAACTTCTCAAATTAAACTCAATAAATTGTATAACATATACTTCTCTGCTATGACTAGCAGATCTACTAATATACTTACTGCAGCAACTCTTACTCTCTAAGCACCATATATCCACTTCCAAATAGAAATGAGCAATAAAGTCAGCTTCACTTACCTTCTCTGCTGCTCTGTGAAAACACCACATTGCAGATCCCATGTCTTGCCTCACACAGTCCCCTGATAGGTACACAGCACCTAAAAGATAAAGAGCGCCTGGATGCAACTGAGACACAGCATACTGCCATAAGACCTTTGAATAAATTTAGTCCATTGACCAAAATAAATGAATAAAATACCTGTTCGGCAGCCTTTTCCAGATAATAAAATGCTTGCTGAGATGATTGAACATAGTCATTCTGCCAAAAATGAAAGATACTTTAACATCAGGATATATATGTATTATCATTTTAAATCTTTTTTTATCAACTCATTTTTGAACTAAGATGTTTAAATGAACGGGAAAACTTGACAATTGCACAGCAATTGTAACATCAAAAGCCACAATAGGATACGAAAACTTGATGAGCCAACCTCAATTCTTAAGCGGCCACCTAGTTCATACAGTGCATCAGGATTTCCCATATCAGCAGCTTCCACCAGCAAAGCAGCTCCTCTGATAGTGAAAATTTTTCAAAACTGATCACTCATTGTAAAACCATCATTTCTATCTAATACAATTCAATAATTCATATCGTATCAAACAAGGACTGGAGAACAATTGTAAAGGTTGACTATAAGATCTTCAAACTATATTAAGGAATGATGAGCTAACCCATCAAGAAATGAGAAAGCAACAACAGCAAGCAAAATGCGAGTCTTTTGCTTACTTACTATAGTCTATACTCACACACTAGTCAGACTCTCTTGTTATCAGAGATAAAGCTAAGTACTCCAAAAGATTTTTTTTTTTTTGCAATAAAACTTCAAAGCAATCAGATTTAGAAATCTGCTGGCTCAACATCATAATAAAACTCACACTGCTTTACATGCCCCTGGAACGTGATATTTAAGGTGCAGCTTGGATAACCAATAGCGCGCATTGGTATTGGAATTATCAACTTCTAAAGCCAACTCAAAATTCTCCTTAGCACCCTAGTAAACATTAATGAGCAGCAACAATTAGATCAGATTGAGCATTAGCATATCAAATCACTACAATTCATTACAATGCAAGCCTAATAAAAAATGAGTATTATCAATGCAAACTAATACGAGTATATTAGCAAGAGCTCATAGAGCAATTGAGACACGATAAAGGTATAGGGATTAAATATAAGTTTTGGAACTCATTTAAGTGAGTAGCCACTAAACACAATCATATACAAGCATCAATATATGCAATAGTAAATAGAAGATCGAAAAGGGCATGTGAAACTGAAAAAACAAGCACTCACCCTAAGAAGAGGAATGAGACGCTTGTCATTAAGTTCACAATAATCAATAACTCTATCAACTTCCTTCATAGCACTCCACCCTTTTGCTATAAATTCCATGGCTTTCTTGTTTCTGCTGTGCAATCCTCTCTGTTTCATTCAATCATACCATATGTTAGGACAAAGAAGGACAAAGATAAACTGAAAACACATTGTAACTTAGCAAAGAACTCACCAATTGATTAAACCCAGAAAGCCTGGAATTTAATCGAACAGTCTCCTTCAGAAAAATTGATCTCAGCATCTTCTCTAAAAGGGGACAAAAACCAGGAAAGCACATCAAAACAGCACAACCCAGAAACCAAAAACACAAAATTGAGAATTCAATAACACTGCCAACAATTTCTCGTTTATAAAGGAAAAGGGTATTCGTGCAATCACGAAATGAAAGACGAGCAAGTATAAAAGACTAAGACTTTGGTTCAGGACTTTTATCAAACACCTGGTAGGCAACTGTTTAATGATCAGAAGCACACTATAAATGTCAATTCAGCAACTCAAATCTTCCAAATTTAATTATTCCAGATTATAAGAAAAACAATTCCAATTTGAAGATTATAATAGCAGAACAGTTAACTGATTCACAGTAAAAAAAAAAACTAGGAACAAACAGCGTAGAGCTAGAAGAAAGGTACCTTGAGAAATGCTGATGACTGATAATAATATGCGAAAGTTTTAGGAGGATAAATCAATTATGTCAAACACATTAGCTGAGAAGAGCAAAGGATAAAGGGGGATCAAGTCAATCAACTTTAGATTAACTGAGAAATTATTTTTAAGAAAAATTGTCCAAGTAAGTTAGAGGAAAAATACATTAAGAAAAATTAAGCTTAAAAAAAAAAATTGATGTGTTGTAGCTTAATTTTTAAATTTTTGCCATTGAGGAAACTCTTTTATCCTTGAAAAAAAATATAATAAAAAAAAAAACCATCTTATGCAATACAAAATTGTAAGGCAATTAATCATTTAAATATACATTATAGAGTAATTAATAATAGTTAAGGAAAGTTTATTGCATAAGAATAGATTTATAACCTTTAACTACATACCAAGTAGTATTATATTTCTTGTAAAAAAAAGAAAAAAAAAACCTATTTCATTAATTCCAGGCTTGAACATAGCCCGACTTGAATCCAAGAATAACCCGACTTGGAAATGACCCAACCTGATTATAACCCCCAAATTATTGACTTGAACCGACCCGACTTGAATCCGAGAATGACACGACTTGAAAAAGACCCGACCTGATTATAATCCGCAAATTATTGACTTGCGAGAATGACCCGACCTGATTCTAACCCGCAAATTATTGACTTGAACCGAACTCGACTCGAACCCGAAAATTACCCTAACCCGTTTTAACCAGTGAAAACCCGAATTAAACCAGACCTACTGTTCACCCGACCAGAATGTAACCCGACCTGTTATTAACCCGACCTATACTCGATAAGAAGTATGAACCGACGTGACCCGACTCAAGCATGATCCAACTCAAACCCGACCCGCATAGGTTATGGAATTAATCCGAATTGACCCAACCCTAATTGACCCGCCAACTCTTACCGGCCTAAACTCGACCCGTTTACCTGAATTGACAACTCTACCCGAAATCTCCAAAATTTCTCAAAAAGCGTGGATATTAGCCTTCAATTTTGGAATTTTTTTGACTTTTTTTCACCCGGAAATAAAAATTGCTGAAATGTTAACCATGGTCCCTAATATATACCCTACGACAGTCCAATTGGGTGGGTGGACCATCCAATTTGCCTTTAAACGACCAATTTACCGTTTTACAACTTGCACCGATTTCATTAACTCAATCTTACCACGAACATTTATGACAGCATATAATGATTATATATGGATCCAAACGACATTATATGACCCCGAGATGTATCCCTTGAAATCTCAATGCTTTTCGACACCGGGCCCTGAAACATTCGAAATTTCTCAAAACACGTGGATAATTAGCCTTCAATTTTGGAATTTTTTTGACGTATTTTCGCCCGATAATAAAAATTGCCGAAATGTTAACCATGGTCCCAAATATCCTACGGGAGTCAAATTGGGTGGGTGGAGCCATCCAATTTGCCTTTAAACGACCAATTTACCGGTTTACAACTTACACTGATTTCATAAATTCAAGCCTAGTACGAGCATTTATGACAACAAATAATGATCATATATAGTTCCAAACGACAATATATGACCCCGAGATGTATTCCCCAGAATTTCAAGACTTTTCGACACCGGGCCTCGATGACTCTAAAAATTCTCAAAAAGCGTGGATATATCCTTCAAATTTTGAATTTTTTGAATTTTTTTCGTCCGAAAATAAAAATTGCCGAAAAGTTTACCATGGTCTCTAATACCCTCCGGGAGTCCAATTGGATGGGTGGGACCATCCAATTTGCCTTTAAACGACCAAATTACCAGTTTACAACTTGCGTCGATTTCATTAACTCAAGCTTACCACAAACATTAATGATAACATATAATTATCATATATGGTTCCAAACGGTATTATATGACCCCGAGAGGTATCCCCTAAAATCTAAAGACTTTTCGACATCGGGCCCCGAAACCTCCAAAATTTATCAAAAAGCGTGGATATTAGCCTTTAATTTTGGATTTTTTTTACTTTTTTCGCCCGGAAATAAAAATTGCCGAAATGTTACCATGGTTCCTAGTACCCTCTGGGAGTCCAATTGGGTGGGTGGAACCATCTAATTTGCCTTTAAATGACCAATTTACCGATTTACAACTTGCACCGATTTCATTAAATCAAGCCTACCACAAACATTTATGACAACATATAATGATCATATATGGTTCCAAACGACATTATATGGCCCCGAGATATATCTCCTAAAATTTCAAGCCTTTTCGACACCTGGCCCCGAAACCTCCAAAATTTCTCAAAAAGCGTGGATATTAGCCTTCAATTTTGGAATTTTTTGACTTTTTTCGGCCGGAAATAAAAATTGCCGAAATGTTTACCACGGTCCCTAATACCGTTCGGTAGTCCAATTGGGTGGGTGGAACCACCAATTTGTCTCTAGATGACCAATTTACCGGTTTACAACTTGCACCGATTTTATTAACTCAAGCCTACCACGAACATTTATGACAACAAATAATGATCATAAATGTTTCCAAACGAAATTATATGACCGTGAGATATATTCCCTAAAATCTGAAGTCATTTCGACACTGGTTCCCGAAACCTCCAAAATTTCTCAAAAAACGTAGATATTAGCCTTCAATTTTAGAATTTTTTGAATTTTTTTGCCTGTAAATAAAAATTGCCGAAATATTTACCATGGTCCCTAATACCTTCTGGGAGTCTAATTGGATGGGTGGAACCATTCAATTGGCCTTTAAACGGCCAATTTACCAGTTTACAACTTGCACCGATTTCATTAACTCAAGCCTACCACAAGCATTTATGACAACATATAATGATCATTTATGGTTTAAACTAGTATTATTTGACCCCGAGATGTATCTCCTAAAACTCATAGCTTTTCGACACCGGGCCCTAAAACCTCAAAATTTTCTCAAAGAGCGTGGATATCAGCCTTTAATTTTGGAATTTTGACTTTTTTTCACTCAAAAATAAAAATTGCCGAAATGTTTACCATGGTTCCTAATACCCTCTGGTAGTCTAATTTGGTGGAAGGAACCATCCAATTTGCATTTAAACGGTCAATTTACCGGTTTACAACTTGCACTTATTTTATTAACTCAAGCCTACCACGAACATTTATGACAAAATATAATGGTCATTTATGGTTTCAAATGTCATTATATGACCCCGAGATGTATCTAATAAAATCTCATTTCTTTACGACATCTGGCCCCGGAACCTTCGAAATTTCTCAAACTGCGTGGATATTAGCTTTCAATTTAGGAATTTTTTGACTTTTTTTGCCCGGAATTAAAAATCACCGAAATGTTTAACATGGTCCGTAATACCATATGGGGGTCCTATTGGGTGGGTGGAACCACCCACTTTGCCTTTAAACGACCAATTTACCGGTTTACAACTTGCATCGATATCATTAACTCAAGCCTACAATGAACATTTATGACAACAAATAATGATCGCATATGGTTCCAAACGACATTATATGACCCCGAGATGTAATCCCTAGAATTTCAAGACTTTTAGACACCAGGCCTCGAACACTCCAAAATTTCTCAAAAAACGTGGATATTAGTCTTCAATTTTTGAATTTTTTTGACTTTTTTCGCCCATAAATAAAAATTTCCAAAATGTTTACCATGGTCCCTAAGCTAATACCCTCAAGAAGTTCAATTTTGTGGGTAGAATTTTCTGATTTGCCTTTAAACAGCCTATTTACCGGTTTATAACTTGCACCGATTTCATTAACTCAAGCTTACCACGAACATTTATGACAACACATATGGTACCAAACGACATTATATGACCCCGAGATGTGATCCTAAAATTTCAAGGCTTATCGACACTGGGCCTCAAAATCACCAAAATTTCTCAACAAGCATGGATCTGAATTTAATTTTGGAATTTTTTGACTTTTTTTTTCGCCCGAAAATAAAAATTGGAGAAATGTTTACCATGATCCCTAATATCCTTCAGGAGGCCAATTGGATGGGTGGAACCATCCAATTGGCCTTTAAACGACCAATTTACCGGCTTACAACTTGCACCGATTTTTTTAACTCAAGCCTACCACGAACATTTATGACAACAAATAATGATCATATATGGTTCCAAACGGCATTATATGGCCTCGAGATATATCCCCTAGAATTTCAAGACTTTCCGACATCGGGCCCTGAAACCTCCAAAATTTCTCAAAAGTGTGGATATTCGCGTTCAATTTTGGAATTTTTTGACTTTGTTTGCCCCGAATTAAAAAATTGCCGAAATGTTTATCGTGGTCCCTAATACCCTCAGGGAGTCAAATTGGGTGTGTGGAACCATTCAATTTGCTTTTAAACGATCAATTTACCAGTTTACAACTTGCACCGATTTTATTAATTCAATCCTACCACGAACATTTATGACAAAAGATAATGATCATATATGGTTCCAAACGGCATTATATGACCCCGAGATGTATCCCATAGAATTTCAAGAGTTTTCGACACCGGGCATCGAAACCTCCAAAATTTCTTAAAAAGCGTGGATATTAGCCTTCAATTTTGGAATTTTTTGACTTTGTTTGCCCCGAATTAAAAATTGCCGAAATGTTTACCGTGGTCCCTAATACCCTCAGGGAGTCAAATTGGGTGTGTGGAACCATTCAATTTGCTTTTAAACGGCCAATTTACCGGTTTACAATTTGCACCGATTTACCGGTTTACCACAGCCAATTTAACTAACTTGCACTGAACCCGACTTTAACCGAAATTGACCTAAACCCGTTTTAACCTGTTAAACCCCGAATTTAACCCAACTTGTTACTAACCTGACCTGAATTCAATACGACCCGAATTTAACCCAACCGGTTACAAAGCCGATTTGTTATTGACCTGACCCAAATTCAACCCGACTTGTTATTGGCCTGACCCGAATTTAACCATACCTATTAGTTACCCAAGCCAAAAATTCAACCCGATCTATTACTAACCCGACTCGAAATTAACCCGACTTGTTATTGACTGATAGGTCCATTTTATATAGTATTTTACCCCTGTCCCTTGGTCATAATTAGTAGTGTTTTTAGCTCGTTAGGGCCAATTTTATTAATAATTGGTGTTTTCTAGTGTTTTTGTAGTTTTGGTTGACTTTTGTAGGGATTTGCACTTTTGGAGCATTTTCCCGAAATATTATGGGGTGATTATGAGCATTGGAAGAGCACGACCAATTTTTATAGCTAGGGCCGGTTAGAGTCATCGAACCGGTGATTAAGGGATTAACATTTGAGATTCTGAGGCATTTGGACCGAGTATTCAAGACTCGAAGAGGAAATCCGAATTGGGCCGAAGAATTGGAGCCCAATCGAAGTCCATAGCTTGCCCAAGTGTCCGGGCCCGACCAAGTAGGCTCCCGCATGAAGGTGACCCTGGCCAGGCGATCCGAGGAAGAGTAGTTTGCGCCCGAGCCTGGCGCGAGAGATGCTTATGTTAGAGAAAATTCGGGCCCGATCGGGCGACCCTTCGCCTGATCGGGCGCGAGGTTTTCAGTAGCTAATTCCGGCGATTTATCTTAGTTTTAATTAGGAGTAATTATTTTTGGTATAAATACGATTTTAATGCTTTTGATTAGGACTACTTCTTCTCTTAGACTTCTCTCTCTACTTAGCTTTAGATTAATTTCTCTCTCTACAACATTGTTCTCTATTTTAATTTTGTTCTTAATTCAACTCCTTAATTCCGATTACTTTGGTAACGGTTTCTTCTACTTTAATCTCATTTATTTTACTTTATTTCTTTCATCATGTTTCCTTTAATTGCTTTGTTTAGTTTATATTCAATTATATATGAGTAGTTTTCTTTCTAGGGTTTGTGGGGATCCATAAATGATATGAAGGGGTAATTTATTATTGTTGATTGTCAATGCTAGATTAATTTCCTGTTGATTGATTTAATGCTCTGTGACTAGATTAGGCCTGATCTTTTATGCATGAGTTTGACAATATTGATTCGAGATTGGAGAGGTGAGAATTGATGTTTAGGTATAGTTTCAATAGGCAGGTTAATTTATAAATGGTTAAGTCGAGATTCGAGAGATGATATTTAATACCGGTAGATTAATTCTGTGATTGTAATACGTTGCGAAAGCCTTTTGTGATCTGATTAATTGATGCATTGATGATTGATTGTTATGAATTACCCTGGAATATTGTTTATTGGTGAACCTATGCCCTAGGCTTTATTTCATTGATTTTCCTCCTACTTTTATTCCTTCCCACTTTTACTCTTAGTAGTTTAGTTCATCTTTGTAATAACAAATTGGTTACTTAATAATTTAGACTACTTTAATTAATTAGGAATAGAAAGACCAGTTTCCCTGTGGATTCGACCCTACTTCCCTATCTGCATTAGTTAGAGGATTTAGGAATTACTTTTAATTGGGTGATACGACTTTAGCATGTCATTGACCCGACCTAAATTCAACCTAAATTTTTCTTGACCCGATTTCAAATCACCTTAAATGCAATTTAGACCACCTTATTATTATTATTATTGATCAAAGCATTTTGTCTTGGGAGACCAAGTCGGTCCAGCAAAAGAAAGGAGCATCATCCTCAAATTTAAGAGTTAAATATAATATATATTTGTTGTATGGTCAAAGGAGATAATTATCTTCCTAAATTATAGACTATAGTTCTCTAGTATATTGCCATATATATTATAGTCAAATGAAATAATTAGCTTGATAAAAATGATAATTATCTATTTATATTTAGTTGAACCCGAATATGACCTGACTTGGAAATGACCCGACCTGATTGTAACCTGCAAATTATTGACTTGAACATAACCCGACTTGAATCCGAGAATGACCCAACTTGAAAATGACCCAACCTGATTATAACTCGCAAATTATTGACTTGAACCGAACCGACTTGAACCCAAGAATGACCCGACTTGAAAATTACCCGATCTGATTATAATCCGCAAATTATTGACTTGAACCGAACCCGACTCAAACCCGAGAATGACCCGACCTGATTCTAACCCGCAAATTATTGACTTGAATCGAACCTGATTCGAACCCGAGAATTACTCTAACCCGTTTTAACCCGTGAAATCCCGAATTAAACCCGACCTATTATTCACCCAACCCGAATGTAACCCGACCTAAACCCGATAAAAAGTATGACCCGACGTGACCCGACTCAAGCATGAACCAACCCAAACCCGACCCGCATAGGTTATGGAATTAATCTGAATTGACCTGACCCACTATTACCCGACCCAAACCCGACCCGTTTACCCGAATTGACAGCTGTAAGTTTATTGATGACTAATCCAATAAAAATCTTAATTTTATTTGTACTAAAAATACTCCATACTTGTTTGAATAATTGATAATTACTTAATTAGTGTTAAAAAATGATTGTAAAAAAAAAAAAAAAAAAAGTGTTAAAAAAAAACCCGATTTGTACTGAATGAAAAATCCAGTAACCCATGCCCGACTAAAAGAAAGGGACTTGTTAAAAGAAAGGGACTTATTAAAGAAAGGTCTTAAGAATGAACGAAGCCTCCCTATATAAGCTCCCAATATAAGCTCCCATTAAATTAAAGCTTCAATTTTCCAATCTTTAATCTCCTTTTCTCTCTCCTCGAATTTCAGTTAAGCTATACTTTGAGAAAATTTGATTGGTATTTTCGGGTTTCCCCAAATTCATTGATTTAACTAGGGTTAGGGTTTGGGAGAAATTAAACAATGGCTGCCGTCGAACAAATTACTGAGGGCGTAAACAACTTGAGCGTTGTCGATTCTGGAAAGAAGAATCGAATTCAAGTTTCCAATACCAAAAAACCCCTTTTTTTCTACGTTAATCTCGCCAAGGTAATTGATTTCGCCTTCACAATTTGTTCTATATTTAAATAATTATATTTTGGGTATTTTTTTGTTGATTTTTGATTATGTTTTGCAGAGGTATATGCAGCAACACAATGAGGTTGAGCTTTCTGCTCTGGGAATGGGTAATTTTCCCTCTTTCTATAATTTTTGATTTTTCTTTTTCCTGGCAAATGTAACGTAGCTCGATGTTTATGTTGTGTTTGTTTTAATTTTTGATACATTGCATTTTGTGATTGATTGTGATTTGTATTTTATGGTTTATTTGGTGGGTTGGTTTAAAATTGTGTTAAATTGATATAATTAGGGCTTAATTCATCTGTAAATTGTGTTCTGTTGTGTGATAATGAAAGAAATTAGCTCAAGATACCGACTTTAGTTTTGGTGCCAAATTTTTTTGTCAGTCCTTGAAAGTTTTTAATTAAGTGTTTAAAATTCAAGTGATGGGAGCTTGAGTTTTGGAATTTCCTCTCCTTGTCCCCCAATCTACAAGGTGCACTGAATGATGTTTGGTTGTGGATATAATTTCAATGTGAAGTGTAATTATCATTAATTGTAATATATTTCAGATAAATTTTTTGGTATGAATTCGTCTAAATTAGATTGGGTTCTTTGCAAAATGTATGATGCTCCTCTTCTTCACGTCTCTTCATTCATGCGGAAGTGTTATACTATGTTGTTATTGATCTATGTCCTGTAGCCTGTCCCGAGTCAAGTGCTATTTTTGTGTATATTGTACCAAATCTCTTTCAGAAATTGCAAATTCTATTGGCATGGAGATTCGAATGAATTAAATTTTCAGTCTTTTGTTGGAATCGTTGTCAGTAAAAATTTACTAGAATGTTTTTGAAGGCACTTGGCTGATTTGATAGGGTTGGTGCCTTGGTGGATGGTGGGGGTGGGGTGGAGCAAAGCCTTTCATGTAGAAAGATCCTGTTCTCCTCTTTGTTAGTTCATGCAGTCATTGACTGACTCATTGTGTAGCTTTTTCTAGGTGTATGATGGTTATATAGTTCAGGCTAGTGAGCTTGCCTTATAATTGGCCACCAAGTTCTCTATTTTAGGGTGCTAGTCTTACAAAACTGTTTCGATTGAATTTTTATAACTGATTTTCATGTTTCCTTCTTGTTGTTTGTTGCTTTGACTTATATTTCATTTTTTTTTTGTGAATAAATTGCAGCTATTGCTACAGTTGTAAGTGTTGCAGAAATTCTCAAAAATGGTGGGCTGGCTGTTGAGAAGAGTAAGAACTTTCTTTTATTGAGAGCTGATGTATAATACACATATTTGAGCTCATGATAATCTAGATTGGTTTAATTTTGCAGAGATCATGACATCTACTGTTGATATAAAGGATGATTCAAGAGGTCAGCCAGTCCAGAAGGCAAAGGTATGCCTGGTTTTTGCTAGCTCTCTTTTCTATGAACTATTTTACTTTAATATGCATTGTTGTGCATGAACTCGATTTTTTTGTGAACTAAAGGGCCTGTTTCACCTAACTCCTTTCGTCTGCTTAGTGCCCCCTTCTAATTTTTAACTTATCTAAACATAATTGGCTCCTGTTATTATTTATTTTTCGCTTAAAACTGAATATGGTAGCCATTATATGAACTTATAATTCTTGAAACTCATTTTATTGAGACGAAAAGAAAAAGGCCTAATCGTAGCTTGTACTCTGAATTTCTGATGATTGTGGGTCTCTATTTTTCAGATAGAGATTTTACTGGAGAAGTCAGCGGACTTCGACGAAATCATGGCAGCTGCTGCTGAGGAAGCTGAGGTTGCTGCTGTTGAAGAGCAGAGTTGAAGCAGAGGTTTTTCTTGTTTTGATAGGGATTTGTTTTGGTAGTAACCAAGATATTTTAAGTAGTTGTGTTCTTTCATTATATATGTCTAGGAATTTATTTTTCAAATGAGCATGTTGTCAAGTATTTTTCCCCCATTAGTGTAGGTTCTTAGAAAAGTTGTGATCCTGAAATCAGTTGGTCATGTCAGAATACTCTAAATTCAGTTGCCTGGATGTAATCTTTTTTCTTGGGTCAATGAGATTGTGGGACATAATTTGTGCTTCTATATTTCAAATGTTGTTGCCTGGCATCTTATTATAGTGATATGGATGGAGCTTGTTGATCTGTGTTTCTGATTACTAAAATCTTTTTGCTATCATCAAACAGAAAGACAGACAAGACAACCGAACTGCTACAGCTTCGAATCATACATTAAGGTCATTAGATACTGAATATTGATTGCTTTACCATCAAACAATAGCTGAATGGCTCACCCCAGCTGCCATTGTTGCATGTATTAATGTATAGACCGTTGTAGTTTCTGCACACTTCAGTAACATATCATTATATCAAACACTTCATCAAAATGTTTTAACATATTGTTCAAATTCCTGTCCTATTTCAAAATTTTTAATAGAATGTTGTGGATTCATACAAATCGGCATACATGTGCAATTAGTTGTCTTGGTTCACAATAAAAGAGTGAAGAGTGCCATAAAACCCTTATCCTAAAGTGTGTATACAACGAGACTAGTTCTGAATCAAAACCAACACTCTTTTGCTATCTCAAAAGCCAGAGAGGATTTTCGAAAGTCAGAATTGCTCCTTGCAGATTGTAGATTAGCAGAAATGTACAGCAAATCCGGTGTTGATCAAGCTTTAATACTCCCATCAGATACTCAAACAACCTCAATATTAGAGTTACATTAGTACTTAATGACAAGCTGAATAAACGCATGATTATCAGTTGGCAATCTTTATTCCTGAAACTCCAGCAGGGAGACGACCTGTGACAAATAGCCTGCCTTTTCTGTAGCTGCTCATCATCTCATGGCATTAGAGCTACATCCTTCACAAATTCCTTATTTTGCATATCCAATTTTTAGTTCAATTTGGGCCTTGTACATGGCATTAAAAACCATAGGAATCCATTTTCACTTTGCAGGACAACGTATTATTTGCTATCTGGTTTTTCTTCCCCTCTAATTGATGCTTGGTATGAAGAGCACAATCCACTCTGAATTTAATTTAGGTTCGACATACAATAAATATAAATTGATTATGTAAAGTGTAGCTTAAAGCCGGATTCAAAATGTCGATGACAAAGATGATTGTAAATTGGATCGAATTGGTCGATTTAATCCCTCTACGTTAGAATGAGAGGTTTGAGTTCCATCTTCCAAAGCATATGGTTTCAAGGTTCAAAGAACACTTAATATCTATAAGACTTTTGGATGGATGTCAATGCATAGATAATTTTCATAGGGGTTTAAAGTATATTTGAAAAGGCAACCAGAAAATGTACGGCTCAATTCACTTAATAATACGCCTCTTTATTTTTATTTGAAAACCACGAGTTTTTATGTGATTGACTAGTTATATATGTTTTTAAACACCCAAATGGTCTCATAGGGTTTTGGGAAGTTCATGGAAACATCTTGTCCTCTTTCTTTTTCGGGTTTAGAATAATTGAAAATTGTTCATTATTGTCAGCTATAACCACACTTTTGAACCAATTTCGGATATTTTTTCCATGTCATACAAGTTGGTTTAGAACCATAACAAGCCTACTAATGGGTTTATAGAGTCCCGAAACTGAATTTGGATGAATTATTTGTGTTTGGTCCAAGAATTGCAAGCGATGCTACAAATCTTTAACAGTGATACTTTAATAGAGCATTAGTGCATTACCAAACATTTAGAAGAATCCATATTGTGCTGCAGAATGTCGCTATTTCCAATTTGCCAGTATCTCAAGCTTTTATGGAGAAAGCACAGGAGACAGCGAGAATTAACAAACAAACTCAAGTAATAATTTCCCAAGTTGCCAAAATTTTGATGTCTCATACTACAAAATATGTATGAAATTACACTCAGAGTAGGAACCTAATGAGATAACTTTGTGGCTAGAAAAGATCAATCAGCTCTAAGATGATTTTGACTTTGATTTTGATTTGGATGAGAATGATGATCCCTTCTTTGATGCTCCTTTGTACGGTGATTTCTTGAAAGATTTTTTCTTTGCGTCCAACTTGCTTGAGGATGATCCCTTGTCTCGTTTATTCTTCTGCTGCTTCTTCTCATTCTGCAAATTAATGTTTCTAACAGCCTGTACATGAATCAAAAACCAAGTCAATACTAATTCTTAGTTAAATGACGTATCCTACTTAGCATCGATTGCGAATTCTTAACATACCTTGTTAACATTAAGTGAGTCGTGAGAATGCTTTGACATAAGCTTGTTCAAAATCTTATCAGTTTGTTCTCTTTCCTGTGAGCCCATACCCTTTCCTTGCGCGACAGGTAGAAACTGAAAGAACAGCAAAGTTAAAGGGCAATAAGCCAATGACATAATGAGGACATCAATTTAAGGAATTTAAGAGAGTATTAACGAAGAGAACTACGAAGACACTAACCTTCCTATGTTTCCCTTTGCTTTTTAAAGGCTTTTCTCCAGGTAACTTCTTGTCAAATTTCCCAATACTAGCTGTGGAAGTTGCTGCGGCACCAGCAATCTCCTCGAGCTCATTCTTGGTCAGTTTCTTTGGAGCAGCCTGACTTCCGCTAATGGGCAATGATGTAGCAGCTAGTTGAACATGACTGGGAAAATATTCACTATTAGCATCTTCTTTCTAAAGGTAAAGGTAAGACGCACCTTGCAAATTGTGTCAAGCAAAAACCAAAATTCGAAAAGGTGGTGTAGAAGGTACAGATATCACTTAAAGATAAAAATTGCGAAGGGCTCGTCTACTATAGAAAGTCCCTACAACAAATAAACCCATTGTATTCTCTACAAAGCAACAATGTAATAAAATGTAAATACTGAGTTCAGCTCAGCAATGAGAATTCCAAGTCTGCATATGTTGCAATCTGTTCAAGACTCAAGAAAAATAGACATGAATTCTTTTTAAACATACAGAGTTTTGAATTACAGCTAGAGGACGTTTAACATGAACTAAGATGTCTGATCAATCACAAAGTTCAAGCAGAAACTTTTTATATACTCTCAGACCATGAAACCTGCTCTGCAAAAGTGAGTAGGAACTGAGTTGACCAATGTTGAGGGTTTAAACCACTAAACCTTTTAAAGTCCTACCAGGTAACATTAGTTGATGGAAAACACACAAAACAACTTAAAAAATGGAGTAAAAGAAGGGGGAAAAAAAAGATCAACTGTAATACTTAGACTCATTCCAGCAAACTTGTCCTTTTAAAAAAACTTTAAGAAACAAAACATGACAAGTGAGCTGTATATCATATAACAATGTAAACATATGTATTTAATGAATGGAATAAAACAAGCAGAAAACCTCAAAGCAATGACTGGAATTAAACAAGCAGAAAAGCAATAATTGAAATCAACACAATGTAATGAAAAACATGTTTTAAATCAAGAAGATACATTAAAAGCAACCCAAAAGGTAGTTGAGGGGGCACTTTCAATCGAAGACCTCAATGAGGCATCTTAATAATTAGATGGTTAGAGCTGGTGAAAGATGGCAATATGTAAACATACACCATTCCAAGACCCACCCTACAGTCCTACACAGGAGTGACAGGACTGAACTGAGAAAAATAGACTAACTTATTCTCCAAATAAGAAAAGGAAAAAAGTAGTCCACTATCCACATATAACAGCAAAGCAAAGTTCTTTTATAAGCTCATAATTTTTTTTTGGTGGATTATTAAGGAGTGTCAACATAAATAACTTGTAGCACTGAGATGAATTAGACTCTGTGTCTTTTATTCAGTGAATTAAATAGGTTGGTATTACTCATCATTGGCAAAGAATCAAGGATTATAGCAGTCTCCTAAGAAGCCATTAAGTTCACGGGTTTTAGCATGTGTTGTAACTAAATGTCTAAATTAATGGGTTAATGCTCTTATAACAGGTGCTTGACAGAATGACAGGAATAGCATATGACTGTCCAAAAATTGTATCTTCATATGTGGGAGTAGACCTCAGAAGGATACTTTTGAACAATTGTTTACAGAGTAACTTCCACAACCCCCACCACTCACATCCAGACCGATCTTGTTTCTTAGGAATTTAGGATGGAAACAGAAACAGCAAGTACAAGATCAAAGGAATGTACCTCGGCAGGGCACCACTCTTTGCTGCTTCTTTTAGATTCTTCACACGATTCTTCTGGTTATTATCTACTCGCTGCTTCTTCTCAGCTTTTCGCTTTGCAAAAGGATCCACTCCAGGCTCTGTAATTACAAGACACGTCAATGGTCTCAAAACACGCAGATTTTCAAGAAATCCAAAAAAATTGCATATTTCACATCAGTTGTCATAGACTATAATGAATAAAACAGAAGTAAATTCAGAAAAAATACAACATCAGTAGGCTTGCAATATACCATCATTTGGCTTGGCATCAATGATGGGCACATCATCTGCATCATTTGCACGATCATACCCATAAGTGCGCTTCCAATCACCAGTCCTTTCATCGTATGCAATTTTGTCTTTCTTGCGCTTCTTTATGCCTGAAACATTGTTGCAGATCAAGGTAAATTAAGTGATGCTAAGTCATGAAAGAATCCCAATGACTTAATCATTAAGAAACTCTCTTGGTTTACCCTTCTTCTGTGCAAACGCCTCCCACTTTGTTGGAGGCTTTGGTCTTGGGAGCTGTATAAGAAAATGATATATCCTTCAGTCAAAGAGTATAATAAAGGAGTTATGTTATTGTGAGCACTACCCACTGAAACAGTTGACCATCATCAATTAAAAACAAAAATATGCCACAACCAAGTTCATCAACATGTAATTCGTAATGCTAAAAGCTGCATCCTCATGGCCTAATGAACAAACCCTCTCTGCCAGTGGCCACACACAACTAAGTCTTTCAAAAAGGGAGACTCATTTCAGAGAGTTTTGAATAAACTAAATCAATACTTTTGGCAGCATAACCTTTTTTTTTTTAAAAAAAAAGAGAAGCCAGTTTTTAGAAATCAAGGACAGACATAACACATCTCTTGATAAATCCAGGTATCACTACACACATGATTTCAGATTTCCAAGGGCTAGGTGTTTGATACTTATGGATGCAGCCATGTTATATTCCTCAGTTTTTATACCTTTTATCAAAGTATAGCTCTTGAAGGCATAACATGGTCACTTCTCATAAAACCAAGAGCAACAACATTCAACTCTAGTTGACAAAACCAGTAAATTAATTTGATATCTTGTAGTTCAAAGATAAACAGAAAAGTTAATTGCAATTTATAGCACTCAGTACTAATTATATAAGCTCATACACAAGCAATAAGTCCATAATCTATATTCAAAAAAACTCGATATAAAATCGACACCAAATAAGACCTATGCCCAAATAAGCTATGGCCTATAATTGACACCAAATAAGATCAGGAACATTAAAAATCCCTCAAAATATCCTAAATCACAAGACTAAGATAGAGCATTTACATGTTTCTGCCTGGGAAGTCTAGTAGTTGGTGGTGGCAAAGTGACAATGGGACCATCCACATCTTCATTAGCAGGCAAGGTGAAAAGGGCATCTGCAATTGCTTGTGCTAACTCTGTTCCCTTCTCCAGGCATTGTTTCACCAATTCCTCCCTTCATTTTACAGCAAACTATTAGTTTTTCTGCCCAACATTTTCAACAAATACATTCTAACTTTAAAAGGGGCGAGTTTTGATTTTCCACACTTTCAAAATCAACAAATTCACAACTTTATTTCAAACAAATTGAACAAAAAAGAATCATAAGCAATCCCAATATAAGAAAAAACTAACAAATTTATACATGGGTACACTATATAATACAGATTTCTCACGATTGCGGTATGAATATCAGCAAAACCCCACAAGTTTAATTCAAAGAAATTGATTAAAAACTGAATAATAAACAAACACAATAGATAGAAGTCAAGAAGTTTAAATATGGGTTCATACAAAATGCAAATTTCTAACAATATTCAAACAATTTCAGAAAATAATAGATAAAAATCTTACCTTGAAGAAGGGATAGAAGGGAAATGGTGATTAGGGTTATATGCCAAAAGATTTCCCAAATCAATTTGAAATCCGTTATGGGTTTCAATCTCCGACATATTTTCTCTCTCTTCTAAAACTTGGAAACTCAAAAAATGGCGGAAGTGAGCTTGCACTTTACTCTTTCTTGACTCCAAAAAAACCAAGCCCTAAAAACGAAAACAGAGGAAGGGTATAAGGGGCAAATAAAACGGCGTCGTGTCAAAAAAATAAAACCTAAAACGTCGTCGTATTAACCCACCAAACAATTGACCTTCCTATAAATTCTAACTCATGTTTTCTTTCTCTTAAACCCTTACCCCATTTGCGCATTTGGAGAAAAACCCTAGCCCCCAATTTTCTCTCTCTTCTTCCTTCGGTCATTCTTCAGCCACCATGGTAACTTTCTCTCTCTTCTAATTTCTGGGTTTTTAGGGTTTTGGGCTGTGATTATTAGTGGTTAATTATATGATTATGTTCATGATTAAAGAATTAATCTTTTGTTTTTTCTGGGTTTTTGTGAATTTTTTGCAGACAGGGGAAATTGTTAACCCAAAAGCATACCCTTTGGCAGATGCCCAATTAACAATTACAATCATGGACCTTGTTCAGCAAGCTGCTAATTACAAGCAGCTTAAGAAGGGTGCTAATGAAGGTTTAATTTTTTTTTTCTTAAGCTTTAATTGATTGGGTTTTAAGGTTTTTGATTAATCATGATTTTATAGGGTTTTCAGTTTGTGGGTTTTTCTGATTTAGTTAAATATTTGGAATTGCAGCAACAAAAACTTTGAACAGAGGTATTGCTGAATTTGTAGTCATGGCTGCTGATACTGAGCCCTTGGAGATTCTTCTCCATCTCCCTTTGTTGGCTGAGGATAAGGTATACTTAACATATGATTACATTATCATTTTGTATATGCTTGAATGTTTTTATTTGTTTATTTTGTGAAAATGTGAAATGGGTTTGTGAGAAATGAGCATGATATGGTTTACTTAATTATGTAATGTGGGGAAGGTTCAAAAATGTTGTTGCGGCGGCTGTTTGTTTAGTGGCACTTACGATGTTGAATTTGTTGGCTATAATTGGGTGGGGGTTGGTTGTTTGATTGGATTTGTTTCGATTAATGCTAGTTATAATTGTGTTTTGGGTTGAGTAGTCTTGTAATTATATCAGAACTTGACATATATGTAATGCATAAAGGTTTACCATCAACAGGAATTTAGTTTCTTTTTTATATAGTGTTTGTAGTGACCTGTATTTCTTAATGTTGGAGTGAAGGAGATAACTCTATTTGCATAGTCAATACTGGATTGATGCGATTATGCAACTTTGTAGATTGTTGTGGGCGATTGAAGGGGTTTATAAAGCAGAAAACCTAAACCAGAACATATTAATTATGTAGTATGTAAGCACTTCAGGAGCCTGAGCTTGTTAGAAATAAGCAAAGCTGTTACTTTGAAAATTTATCTGTGGAGTTACCCTGTGAATGATGTCTTGCTCTTGGTAGCTTCCGTGTTTTTGTGTACTTTTTCTGTAATTAATGACTTTATCTAGGTATCATCTCTTCAATGTAGTGTATACTTTCAACTGTGTAGCTTACTGTAGCAAGTTTTCGGGATCATATTTAAAGATCTACATTGTAACAGGATTTCTTCGTGCATATGCAATTCTCCTGGCCTTTTGTTACTTGCTGCAGTTGCTCTTTACTATGTTGAATATCTGGAATCTGCTATGTTGAATTTAGCTTTGCAAAATTATTTATATTCCTTTTGATTAATTCTTTAACTTGCTTCTTATTCGCAGAATGTTCCCTACGTGTTTGTGCCCTCAAAATCAGCCCTTGGCCGTGCATGTGGTGTTACAAGACCAGTTATTGCTTGCTCAGTGACCTCCAACGAAGGAAGCCAATTGAAATCACAAATCCAACAACTCAAGGTTAGTCTTCATTCGATAACCATCTGCTACTAATGCTGATAGCTTAAAGTCAATTTGAATGTGTTTCTGATTTCTGGTGTTTATACTAATGCAGGACGCAATTGAGAAGCTTTTGATTTGAGAAGTAGTAGCTAAATGCCTGTTCGGAGTGATAGGCCTCTTGGATTGTAAACGAGTGCTCCTTGGAGGCTTTGACTGATGAAGTTGTGCCACTAGGGGAAGAGTCTATTTTTTCTTTCTTTTTTGGTAATTTTCGTAATGGATCACTGTTATTGAGAGTCGAATTTAGAACTTTGGATTCTGATGTGAGCTAAATCAAATTAATAGTTGGTAATCTATAAAAACTTGGTGACTTTACTTACTGGTTTATTTGTTTTGTTGGATCACTTTTTTGTTAATTTGTTTTCTAGATCAAAGTTTTACTTAATCTAATTATTTTTTTCTAATGGACTGCGTTAGCTCAACGAATCTCTTAATCTAATGTTCCAAACTTCCAACTTCTGCCACTTTTTTGCAATTTAAGCTTCTGTTGCCGCCTTGATGTTAATGATGTGGTTATGTAACAACTGGTCCTAGATCAAAAGGGAGTATTTTTACTGTGCCAAAAGACGCATGATAACATGATAACTAATGGAGGTGAAAAAAGATGATTGGAATTTGGAAGCAATTCAAGTATTCAATATCAAATTTGTTTCTCATGGGGTTGCATAAAATAATTTTTTTCCGTTCTGGATTCGACTGAAGCTTTGGTAACGAATGAACCGTTACACATGTGTTGTGGCGATGTATTTCTTGTGCATCATCTATGTACCACTGAATAATCACTGATTGGTAATGGAATATGCTTTTCATATCATTGATGCATGACTTCATTATAAGAGTCAATTTTTAGAAGTGTAAATCGGATAAAACGGTAGACAATGTCCTATGAATTAAGAACAAGATTACAAGACATTGATTGTTTATGATGTAGCATTGTATCTAAGCTTGGAGGCACAGAGACGTCGATTGTTAATGATAACGAATGGAGCCGGAAAAAAGTCATCGATTGCTAGCACTAGCTAGTAAGAAAAATCCAACAGCCTAGAAGCAAACTTTGCCTCGCGTTAACCTCGTGGCTCATCACGTCGGCTCACACAACATCATCTCTAGTAATTCCAGTATATACTCTTTGTGCAACTCATCAACACATCAAATAAAAGGAAAAAAAAAAAAGCAGAATATGAATAATTGGGTCATCATGCTATATACAATGAGCATAACTTTTAACTTGTAATATGGTCAAATGTCAATAGGAGTTAAAAATATTGCTCAATTTACTTGTTTTTGGTCTTGAGAGTTACGTATGATTGTGCATGATATGAGTACATCTTAACAAGTAGTGTTATTGATTTTAGTTAAGTAAAATGAACCCTTTTTTTTTCATTTAACCAGTTAATTATTGATTTTATGTGGGATTAGTTATTCATAGAAGGTTAAAAATGATATATTAGTGTGTCAAAATATAAAAAATGATTAATATGATAGCTAATTAATTGTTATCTATCAACTAAGTGAGCGTGCCGGAGTGGTTATCGGGCATGACTAGAAATCATGTGGGCTTTGCCCGCGCAGGTTCGAATCCTGCCGCTCACGCTTTTTTTGATATATTTTTTCCCTTGTTCATTCCTGATAATCTGATATGAGTGATATCATTATGCTTTAAATCTGTCAGAGTGGTAACTGATACAAATTCTTTCCTCTATTTCTGACAGGAATTTCTGTATATCAAAGGGTTGATTCGATGTTACAGCAGCTCCGTAGCTAATGTGTTTCAGGCACTTATGTATGAAACTTCTCATGTGTAGAGAATTTGGAGACATAGGTGTGTAAAAGCTATCTTAACATCCTGCAAAATTTTATGTTTTCAGCTGCTTTGAGATCATAGAAGCTCTTCATCTTTCTCAAACACTTTCATTTCGAGTCCTAACCATCCTGCCATATAGCATATCTCCTCGGACCTTGGATGAGATGTATCATCCGAGGAGAAACCATGCATACTCAATGAACCATCAGTATTACCTACATCAACCCAGCTAAATCCAACTTCTTTTTTAACTCTGCTATCTCTCATCTTCCTCCTCAGTATAGCCACCTTCTCCCAGTCTCCGTTTACAGCATACAAATTTGACATTAGAACATAAGAACCCGATTCTGTAGGCTCCATTTCTATCAAAGCATTGGCCATTCTCTGACCCATCTCCATATCTCCATGAGTTCTGCATGACCCTAACAAGCTCTGCAAGGCCGAAAATGATGGCCCTTCAGGAATTTGATGAAGCAATTCCTCTGCCTCTTTTAATCTTCCTGAACGGCCCAACATATCCACCATACAAGAATAATGCTCGGCTGATGGTTCAACCAGATTGTCTTTGATCATTGAGTCCCAAATCTGGCGACCCATATCAACCATGCCCTTCCTTCCACATGCTGTCAACATAGAAAGGAAAGTGATAGAGTCAGGTTTTACACCTTTATTTCCCATCTCATTGAATATATGCATAACAGAATCATAGTCCCCATGTCTTGCATGGGCTGAAATTATTGCTGTCCAAGCAAATTGTGTTCTTTGAACGGTGTCTTTGAAAATCCTCTTGGACTCACATAGGCTGCCTCGCTTTCCATACATATCAAGGAGAGCAGCTGACACAACTGCATCAGAATTTAGTCCAAGTTTCAACAAGTGAGAGTGGCATGCTTGTCCATGTCTAAGCGAAATTGCTTCAGCTGATCCAATTGCACTCAAAACACTGCCAAATGTATACTCATTTGGCACGGTCTCAGATAATGCTGAGCAGAACACCTCAAGTGCTTCTTGGTACATCTTGTTTTGGTCATATCCAGATATCAAAGTATTCCAAGACACAGTATCCCGGTTCTGAAGTTCCTCAAAAACCTTCTGTGAATCCCCCATTGCCTCAAACTTCGCATACATGGTGATCAGACTGTTAGACACATTCAATTTTGACACAAAACCAGTCTTTAGACAAAACCCATGGATCATTCGACCTTCATTGAATAAATCTCCATGTGTAATGGCATGTAGTAATCCAATAAAGGTCACTTCATTCGGGTAGACTTCATCTATCCTCATATCATGAAAGAGGGAAAGTGCATGCTCTTGAAAAACAGAAATCATTGTAGTCCAAGAAACCACATTTCTTTCAGACATGGTTTGAAATACTAGCTTGGCATCTTCATTTTCCTCGCACTTTGCGTAAGTTGACATTAATAGGTTACAAACAGCACAATGTGCTCCATATCCAGCCTTTACACTCAAACCATGTAGCAGCCTACCCATCTCCAAAAGCCTATCATGTCCACAAACAGAAATTGCAGCAGTTATTGAGACATTATCTGGTTTTACATTATGTCTCAACATTGCACAAAATGTACAGATTGTTTCCAAACCATATCTTCCATCTTGGCTATACCCACATAGTATCGCATTCCAAGATACTGAATCCTTGGTGGGCATCTCATGAAACACTCTTTCAGCTTCGATTATTCGACCCCATCTTGAGTACAATGTGATAAGTGCATTGCCAATGAAAACCTCACATTTTAAACCCGATTTCACTATGTTTGAGTGTAATTGGAATCCAAATAAAAACCCTTTATCATCCAAACAAAATGACAGCGCAGTAGTGTATGTAACAGGGTCAAAAACAACGCCTTTTGCATTCATATCAGCTGCAAAACACAAAGCATCATCTGAATTCTGAAACCCCAACAGAACTGTGTTATAAGAGACAGTATCAGGGTCATTCATGCTGCTAAATATACGAAGAGCGCGATCAAATTGCCCTGATTTACAGTAAAAACTCATCAAAGAATTTGACACTGATCGATAATGAATAAACCCTGATGACACAGCAAAGCTGTGAAGCATTGCACCCGCTTTCGGATCCCCACGACAAGCTTTAAAGGCAATAGCAACCGCGTCTTCATCAATCCCATCAAGATCATTACTCTGCAGTTCTGCCTTGAACACATTTAGAGCTCTGTAAACAAGGTTTTGACGTATGTAGGTAAGCATGTTGTAGCTGATAGAAGGAAAAATTCGTTGAGGACTTTTGTCGAACACATGGTGTGCATGATGGATGATTGAATAATATTTGCCAACACACAATAGCCATTGAGGGGTTGATGTAAGGTGGGTTTTGAAAAATAATTGGCGGGTTAGCATTAGATTCTACGGTCAGTGTTACCTGACTCGCAAACAAGGTTAATACGGGTAATGGGTATAGGCACACAATTCGCTACCTAATTTTGTTATATTAGTCGATATATGTATCACGATATCTATTCGGCTATTCTCATGTATAAAATAAGTTTGTGGGGGGAGATTAGTGACCTAAAGTATCACAATCAATGAATCAATTGCTAATTTCACTCTGTTTGGAAAATTAAGTTTATGATTTTGAGATGAATTTCGCTAGGCTCAAATTTCATGTGAAATACCAAAAAAGTGATTTACAAGGACCACAACCTATATCTTTCTAGGTTGGTCCGATCAATTGACAACAATTGTAACATGCAACATGTTTAGTGAATGAGCTACAAGGCCAACAACCATATTGCTAATGCTAAACTTATTCACGTGGACATGGCTAGCTTAGGGGCATATGGTCCATATGATCGCACAAGTTTCGGGAAATTTCAGACCTTATACTTTGACCGACGCATATGACAATACACCATAAATATTAATAATTATATATTATTAAGAATTTAAAAAGATTAATATAATGAAAATTTATTTAAAAACTAATCGAAAAATATTTTACATGACAACATATGTTTTATTTTTTATATATTAAAAAAGAAAAATATAGTCAATCGTCTCAAAATGTTGTATATCTAGGACTAATCTAGATACTTGTATTAGTGATGATTGATTCATTTAGAGGTCTAAGAGCTTATTTTGATTTACCGGAATGAACTGAATAGAGCTGAATGAAATGAATTGCTTATAAGAGAAGAAAAATAAAAACTGAACTAATAGAAGCTGAACTGAATTAAAATTAAAGTGAAGAGAGCAGGCCCTAACTGTTTCTTATTTTATCATACATTTGTTTTGTACAAGAAATACTTCCATAAATTCCTAGCTTAGGACAAATAATGTAGCTTCCTATTGATTTTTAACTTGTTTTTTTTGTAAGAAGGGTGACTTTTTTTCACTCAACCAAACGTGGAATTGGAACCACTAAAAACTTGAGTACATTGACAATAAAAATCATTGCTTCTGCACAAAAGCTCAAAAGCAAAATGATAAAGATATAATCTAAGATTTTCATATCTCATTTAGAAACGATTGAAGATGCTAA